AACGCCCTGCATAAATTTCAAGCTGCCTTAACCTTGTCCAAGCTGAGCCTATTATTAAATTAAATGGCATTTTGGGCAAGGTTTGAGCTCTACTTAAATTTGGCATTTGTTTAGAAAGAAGAAATCTTAAAATTTCAATTTCATTTTTTAATATAATTTTATTGTATCTGTTTGTCTCTGCCTCTGCCTCTGCCCTTGCCTTTGCGCTTTCAATGGCCAGTTCCCAGCCGCAGACAGTAAACAAATAAAAGTTAATCTAAAAAAAAAACGGCGTGAACAATGACTACAGGCGTACAATGATATTACGGGACTTGCCTAAAAATAAAGAGAAAAAATTGCAATCAAGCGGCTTTTAGAGCTTACCTCGCCTCACACGCCGCCAAAAGGCGTAGGGGCAGTTGCGGAAGTTGGGCCCGCTTTTGGACTCACGTTCAGCTGATTGGACAGTTTTAATGTCTAGACGGTTGGCCGACTCTCTGGCTGGCCAGCTGCCGAAATTAAGCCTTTGAGAGATGCCTAAAAAATCAGTGGAAATCAGTTTTGCTTTGTTTTTGTTTTTGGTTGGTCAATTGAAAGCTGAAAGTTGGGGCTTATTGTTCATGTTTCGTCATACTTTGCATTTGACATTTATCCGATTGTTACTACAGATTTCTGCCTTCATATGTTATGTATCATGTTCAAGTAATGCATCGTGTCCAATTCGTATGACTTAACAGGCGCAATAACAATAAAAGCTCTACAATTGCGAGAACACCCACACTCAGAGAAAATGTGACATTTAAATTATTTGTCAAAACTGGCATAAAATTCCTACATGTTTTTTTTAATCCTTTTTAACTCATCTAATATTATATTTTGTATAATAACTAATGCTTACAAATTGCAAGATTTAAGAAAAATTTTCTTAAAAAGAGTCAAAGCAATTTCGGCCTTTGCTACATTTAAATTTAAGTAAAAGATTTCTGCGTTTGTTCTCCAAGTGCACACTTAACACCTGGAATCAAATTCCCGAGCACTTAAATATCAATCAAGTTGGTAGCATATAATCACTTTAATTAATCAAACTAAATGGCAACCCGTAGACATTGCTCAGGTCCAGTCTATTTACAAATGCGACGTGCCAAGAAATTAAATTAGCGCATAATTTGACAGAAAACTTTGCACCTCATTTGCGTCCCTCGGGTCACGTTTTGTAGGCCAAATGGACCTGCCTTCGCTGCGAATCAAAACAGAAATCACTCAGTTCTCACTGGCTCGTTGCTCGGCCCTTCAGAGCCATTCAAAATCATTTGTCAGTCTGGCTGTTGCTTGTGTCTTTTAAGGGGAAGAAGGGGCGTGTTTCGCATGAAGCTGAAATCATTTTTAATGAATTACAACATACAGCACACGAACTCATTTTTTATGTAAGCGCCAGACAAGGCATTCGGCTTTATGGGTGGACATAATAGCTAACAGTGGGCATAAACGTAGCCATAACCGTAACCGTAAACGTTACCGTAACCGGTTCATGTGACCGCGCTAAAAGTCAAAGTGTCAAATAGCTGATGCGATCTGCTGCTGATGCTGCTGCTGCTGTGGCAACTGCCAACAATTAAGCTGCCGCCAAAAGCCAAATCTGAATCAAATTATCCGCAGCCAAACGAAACAAATCTTAATGTTGCCAAAAAAAACAAAACTAACTAACCAACATTCCACAAGCTGGCTGAGTCCAGGTTAGCCTTAAACATAAACATTTAAAGCTGCCACAATTTGTTGCATGCCTCTAATTCATTGTTGCATTAGCGCTAGCGAGCTGATATTTTCATAAAATGCAATTTGCAACACCAAAGTTTTAGTGGTTTCTACAAGTTGGTCTTTCAATTAGGTAGAAAAACCCTTTTCCTCACAGTTTTACCATCACATAAGCCCAACTTCTACACTGAAAAAAGCACGAATTTTCTTAAACTAACTAAAAAGACTGCAAGTATGTTTCTTTGAAATCCAAAATGCTTAAGTTAGACACATTTTAAGAAGTAAATCAGCTTGATTCGAGCAGCAGGCAATGTGACATTTTTACATTACGATTTTTTAATTCAATTAAAGAGTTTTTTATTTATTTTAAGAAATTCTTGTTTTAACGAATCGTGGCTTACATTTGATTAAGTTTTAAGCCAAAAATGGGTTAAAAAAAAAGGAATTATTTTTTTCTGTGTAGTTGTGGATAGTCAATGTATTGACTTCTATTCACAGTTCGACCTCGTTATTTGCCACACTTGCCACAAGTATTACAGTTGCCCGGGCAACAGCAGTACATATAGACATGTTTAGCTATTCTGAATGCCGACCCACTAACACATCTGACTGTGCGTACAACTTGGCGTATCATTAATGTTTTCCCTGCACACGCAATGCCAAATACATTGCCAGGAGGCGTTAAAGAGGAAGCTAATACACTCGTTAAATACTCATTTATGTGCGTGCAATGCTATACCATAACAATGGGAGCTCTATAAAAATCAAAACATGCTAATTAAACAAAAAGTTATGAATGTCGTCATGGAATATGATTTACTGTACTTTTTGCTGTTATGATAAAAAAAAAATAGCAGGCAGATATAGCTTTGTGTTAAACAGAAAAGCTTAAAATAATCTACTTTGTGAAAACGGGGCTCAAAGGTTTTGTGGGTTAAGTCTTAGGATCAAATTTTTGGAAATTTCATTTGCGACGTCTTATTGATATAATAATATATTGATATATTGATAATTGAAATTGGTAAATTGGTAAATTGATATATGGTAAATAAAAATCTTTCATTATACCGTTTTCGCGATTTTTCCACACTTTCGGGTGGAATTTGCTATCCACGTGTGCACAGCCATTGCAAAAGCTACCCAAAGTAGGAACTTTCGTGCGATTCGGTCAGTCAGTTACGAGTATCAGTTTTGTATATATACAGAGATAGTTAGACAACTTGCTTATAATCGAGAATAAAGATGCTCTTTAGCGCCAATGAGTATGTCTCCATCTTACACAATCCTAATATAACCGTAATATACCGACTTTATGTATACAGCGCAATAACCAGCACATATTACGAATGAACTCTTGACTCTGCGCAACATCTGGCCTTAAATTTTATTTGTCAGCCAGTTGGTCGAGATGCCCCATAATACAGTTAGCAGAAGTCACATATGTAAATATGGCTGCAATATCAGCAGGATTATGCGATAAACATTTAGCTGGCGAGCAAAAAATTCAATCGAATTTCACATATGATTCGATTATTGGCATTTTGCTTGCCACGCACGCTTTGCTTGTCCCATGCCTTCTGGTGGCTGCCACATATCGGTGCCGCTGAGTTTTTGGCAGCTTAGTCAGCTGACTGGCAACAGCGTTTAACAGCCATGTCGTGCAACCTCTTTGGCTAAAGGTAGTAAACACGTGAAATGTGCTCCAATGATGTGCACATCATAAAACTCAACTGAAACGACGGCTTATATGTAAGTAGTCAGGCTTGGCTTATTACGTCAGCTGCCATTTGAGCTAAAAGCTTATGCAGTCTCCACATGGATATTAGTTGCTCTCAAATTGGCTAGAACATTTTATTGAACCATTAAAAGAGAGCGAACTATTATACAGTGTGTTGAAACTACCTAGCCAAAAATCTAGGCTTGCCTTGTGCGCTGATTAAGAGAACACCTGAAGATACATTGTTTTTATTAATATGTTTGGATCTTATTATGTTTATTTTTCTGTGTAATTACACTTAAACCAATCAAATATATTAATAGAAAATCGCAGCTGCGAGCTTGTTGGTCCGACGCTCAGACAAATAAATCATGTCAGGTTTGCATGACTGCATTGTAGTTCATGCTCTTCAAACTTTTGCCACCGCTGGTTCCCTATTGTAGATCGAGTTTTCCTATGGCTAGTCATAGTGCTCAATTTCGACCCAAAAGGAAGCGTCTGTACAAATTTTAGCTTCCTAGGCTTTGGGGCTTAGTCCGTCTGTCAGGAAAAACTCTTTAACATACATTAAAAATATTCTGTAAGCACAGCTAAATAAGTCAAATGCTTTATTCAGTGACGTATTAATAAGCTATCGCTAGAAAGTGTATATGCAACAATAAAAAACAAAAGATGAAATACTTTTGAATATATTCTACAGATATTTTGACTTTGCTTAAGCACATCACTTCGATTGTCGTATGGCTGATTAAGACCGAGCATATATAAATGCCTCGCATAGTGCATGCCTTCATCCTACGGTTGATGATTTATTCGCACAACTTTGGCGAAAATCGTTTAACCATTTTATGGATAATAATTTTATGGAGACCAGAATACAAATTCACCCTTCCCTTCCGTGTTTCGCATAAAAATTGCTTTTATTGGCGAAAAGCTGTGATGTTCAAAAAGAATGCAGGATATACACACTCACACACACACTAGCACACGCACACATTAGCTAGCACTTCTGAGCTGTGCAGCATTTAGTATTTATTTAACTTTTAGCTGATGAAATCAGCTGCGTTTACTACAACTTTTTCATGTGCTCATAATTACTCAGACGCCAACACACGTGCATATGTGGCATGCCACAAACGAGGCTAGGGCTCGCAGCCGACAATTCCTCTCATACAGTTTGCCATGGGCAGCTCTTTAAGCTACTTGGATTTAAGTTGAAGCATTGATAAATTGGCTGCAAGTCTGGCCTCTGCTTCCGTTGCTTATAAATCAGGTTATACGTTGACCCCGCTTTTATGTGCACACGCCATGCTGCCGCATATGGTGCTGGCACAATGTGAGGCAAGCTCGTATATGGCAGCACAGACAAAATGAGTGTGTTTGTCCGTAGGTGCATGAACTTTGAACCGCAGCAAATGTCAAAGCATCCTTTGAGGCAGGACATAGCTTTGGAAGCCCAGTCATACTACGGGGACGGGGCTCATCTGCTTGGCTTAAATGAAGATTTTATTACATTTCGCCTTAATTCTTGCTCTGTTTTCTGCTCTTACAGATGATTAAAATGATGCTGACTGTTGTAATTGTATTCACCAGCTGCTGGCTACCATTCAACATACTACAGGTGGGTGGTGCGGTGGTTCGGTGGTTGCCCTGGCAGCAAATTAGCCACAAGGCGCACAAATCTTGCCTTTGATTGAGTTTCTCTCTAAAACCCTCAACCCCTCCCCCTCTCTTTCCCTCTCTCTCTCCCTTGCAGCTGATGCTTAACGATGAGGAGTTCGCCAATTGGAAACCGTTGCCCTATGTGTGGTTCGCCTTTCACTGGCTGGCCATGTCGCACAGCTGCTACAATCCGATCATCTATTGCTATATGAATGCCCGTTTCCGTGGCGGATTCCTACAAATAATGTACCGTGTGCCCGGCCTGCGGCGCTGCTGCTGTTTGCATCGATATTTGCGCAGTCGCGGCGAGCGCAGCTATGAAGCAACCGGTGAGATGACCTCCAAATACAATCGCCGAAATGGTGATGGTCTAGTCAGGAAACCTAAAATACGCATTAGGTGCCTCCTCCCTTATCTCTTTAGTACATTATTATGTAATTCAAATCTATTTGTCTTAACGTTTGTATGCCAAAAAAAAGAAAATCAATTAACATCGAAATAATACAAATTTAGCAGGCGGGTGTTACCGACTGCGAAATACTCGTTCACAGTCCAATAACTGCTTAAAATAGGCTAAATGACCCATTTATTACGATATATTTACTTTTCCGATTTCCATATATATTTTTTTATGTTTTTTTTCTTGGAGAAATGTGGAAGCCATAGAAATATTTAGCAATATAATATTAGAATTTTATCTAAACCCCGGTACACACTATGCATCCAATTCCCCCTTTTAACATTGTGAACGAGTATTAAAAACACAAAGCCTGGCATTTTTGGTTAGCTAGTTCCCCTAGGTAGTTAGTTCCACGAGCTTCCCATATGCCCATGCATGATGTACACATAGCACAAAAGCCCAATCACTGCATGCGTGAGCACATAATTTTACATATTAAATTTATTATGAAGACTTTAGCCAGACTTTTAATTGTTAATTGTTAATTGCCGTTGTTGTTGTTTTTCTGTATTCCACGCCGCCTGAAAAGGAACCGAAGATGCATTCCACCTACATCGTGTGAACACGTGCACCACCTACATCAGCACAAGACGAAAGCTGCGCACGAATTCTATGCAAATGGTGAGTAGAGATCTCTCCGGCATTATACAGCCATATAAATAAAGTTCTTTTAGAGCCAATTTTCATGTGCCGAGACCACAGTGTTGCGGTAGCTCCCGGCACCGCGCAGGAGCCAAAACCAAGGCTCCAGCCACGCCAACCAACTGGTGCATTTCACCTGAACAGCGCCAGCTACCTGAGCTCCACACAGTTTTGAAATACAGAAGCTTAAAATAAATGAGTTTGAACCAAAGATGTGCTGAATCTCCATTGATATATTATATCTAGAGTACATGCATGCAAAGCTAGTTATGTGTCTACATACTTATAGTGCTAAGTGTATTATTGTAAATGTTGACTCAATGTAAATGAATAGAATATATATTACAAATATCCATAAATAAATGTGCATAGAAATACAATTGACGTTCTAAATAAAAAATTAAATCTAATTTTATTATATTATAAATATAAAAAGAATATGTATAAATATAAAATAAATAAATACAGCATGGCAGGCAAAATAAAAAGTGCATAGGGAAAAGTGCATACAGAAACTTAATTTTTATTCCGCCCCATTTCAGCCGCAAAATGCATTGTAATCGGACCCAAAATGCCTGAGTGCGTGGTGGAATTTAATTTAATTAACGCACAAAACTATGCAGCACTTTATGCCAGAGGAACACCAAATACGCGTAAAATGTGTTGCATACTTCCAAGCGCAACGTGTACATTGCGTATACGTAATATTGATCAGGATTCAATTAGTAAAGCAGCCATAAAAATGAATAGCTACATCAGAAAATTCCATTTATTGCATATATTATTATAAAAATACGCGCCGAATGCAGCTTTAAAGGTATGCTTCATCAATTTCTAGACTAATTAATACAAATCAAAATGTACGTAGAAAAATCACTTGACTTGGTTTCATCATCACCATACGCGGCACTTGGTCTGCTCCGGATTCATGGCTGTGCCCCGGGCACACTTGAAGGTGCGCGCAAATTCCTCTGAATTGGAAAGAACACCTTTCAGCCGTATCTGGCCCGGACAGTGCGAATCCTCCAGTGCATATCGCGATGCAGCGGGCGTGTATGTCTCACACCAGAGATTGCCGAACGAGATGAAAAAGAGCTGCTCGTGCGTGTAATGCTCCAGACCGGGCAGCTTAAGGCGCTCGCGACCCACCTCCTTCACATAAAGGCGATACGCTAGATAGGCCTCCCGCATGCCGCCATTGTCTGCTATATTCTCGCCCAGCGTCAGGTCGCCATCAATCTGCAAGCAGGCCGAACAGAAATATTTATTGGGCTTATCCTGCAGTTCTCTCCTTCGTTGCCATGCTTACGTATTCGCCAATATCCGACAAATAGTAGCGACTGTACTGTTCCACGAAGCAATCAGTCCGATTAACGTACTCGTTGATTGTCTGGTTGGACCACCATTCGACCATGTTGCCCTCTTTGTCGAATCGCCGCCCGCTGTCATCGAACCCATGCGTCAGCTCATGTCCCAATATCGTACCAATCGAGCCGTAATTCAGGGCTCTAATAAAGATGCGTTCGAACAAATGTAATTGAGTTGCTGTCTTAAGGGCTTAAAGCGCCGAGATTGAGTGCATAGTGTGGAGTGCAAGGTGCGGAGTGATGACAAAAGTGTCTCGGTGCTATGTGCTTGTTTTGTTTTTTTTTTTCTTTTGACGGAGCTGTAGTAACTCACTCGAGTCCTAGGCCATAGAACGGATACTGCAGAATAGCAATGGGCACAGCTACAAGAAAAAAACAATAAAGAGATTATGAAAAAGAGTAATAATGACCGACTGGTAGATACCCTGTAGACACTGCCGAATTAATTAAAAATATGTTTGGCATAATTTCTTTATCATGCTATATATCATGCAAATATGTGAATATACATACTACCAAAGCATAAGCATAAGCTGAGGTCGAAAAAAAGTGAATATCGATTGTTGTTGACTTTTTGGAAGTGGTGTTATCGATCAAGAGAAAGGTATATAAGCCGTGGAGTATATTTAATGAGTCTATTGAAGTCGAGAGTCTAAATATCAAATTTGTTATCTCCTAGGTCTTATAATCCTATCAGAGGTATAAATATAGGCCTATCGATTCTAGATAAGCTGAAGGTGTCACTAAATATCGGAACTTAACTTGGTATGTGTATGGGTCCGACAATCGGTGTGCAACCGAGAGAGTATGTACTGTTCCTATACCCGAAATTTGAACTCTCTGAGCCGGACAGGTATGGTTAGATCCATAGACGGAATCAAGAATACATAATTATATCCATGCGTTCGGTTACACAAATTTTCACAAAACCGTTATACCCTCACCCAATTGCATTGTGTACAGGGTATACAAATAAAACGATTATAATGAACACACGAATGCCTTCGACTTACTTATGGCATTCGATTGAAACGTATGGAAAGCATTCACATTGGATGGCGCCGTGGCCCAGCCTATGGGCTCCGGTTTGTCCATATCATTGATTTTGGCCAGCATTTGCCAGTGCACAAAGCCCATTAGATTCTCCAGATGAGTGCTCGCATTGACCTTAACGCCCGCATAGTGGTTATTGAGGGCTGTCGCATTTGTCAGCCACGGGGGGTAGCCAATGAAGCTCTTCATTTCGGCCGACTTTTGCATTGTCCGTCGCTTGGTGGCCGCGTCCATCCATGTAGTGGCACGCACCAGTCGATCAAACGAGCGTCGTATATCGCTCAGCATGCGCTCCACACGTGGCAGGGTCTCCCTGGTAAAACGCTCATCAGCCAGCACATAGCTTACGGCCATGCCGAACAGGGCATTTACGCCGTGGGCACAGTACAGGGAACGCGGTGTGCTGCCCTCGGTGCCAATGATTAGACGCATATATTCCGCATGAAGCAGTCGCATGTCGCTGGTCGTGTGCAGCACCAGCTCCTCCAAGGCGCTAAGCCACAAATAGGATTCAATGTACATGGCGGGCATCTCGTTCAGATATTCTACAATGTTCTGCAGATAATATATATCCGCATGGCTGGTTATAATGGTCGTATTCTTGATTGCATCCGTTGTGGACGCATGTTTTGTATCCTCGAGTATGAGCTGCATATAGCGCAACCAAATGGGCATCGTTTGCGGCGCAATGTTCTTATCCGTCTGATTCTGCAGCTCCAGCAGTGAAATGTAAACAATATCCTCCACAGGATTCTTCGAAGGCTTTGTCGTGTTCTCAGCCTCCTCCTTCAGCTGCAAGCAACAAAAACTAAAGCAATTAACTGAACAGTGTTAGGCTTAGACATGAACCAAACACACCGAATGAATCTTGCGTGCCACTTTGACAGCCTGCTTCACCAGCTCGGTTATGCCCACTGTGGCCTCATCCTGGTTGACATCCGGATCCACGTAGAGCAAATATTTCTCAACGATCTTCCGCACATACGCTACATATGCGGACATGCCGGAACCTGTCTGTTTGCTAGCCTCCTCCTCGTCCGTTTCGTGATTATCATCGCTGTCATCAGTTTCGTCCAGGTTGTCCATGTAGATGGTTTTCCTGTGGATTTTACGCAGCATCTTATGGGAGTCATCATTGTTGCTAACCGAAAATGAAGGCTCAATTGTAGCTGGTAATTAAAGACATTAATCCTTGCTACTCACAAAGGAAATGCGGATTCGGTTTCGGGCGTGCCGAGCGCAATACGATTTAGCGTACGATTTAAGGGATCGGGAAACACATCGAAGCCCACAATTAAATCCAGGCTTAGATGCCGCTTGATAGTCACCACCGAGTCCAGCCAATTGTAGCTAAAGTTGCCCATCACCGTGTTATACTTTGAGCCGCTGCTCAGGGTCAGATTCAAGGCCGAGGGCAACACCGGCAGCTTGAACTTTTGCAAATAGTTCACAAGCGGCTCCAAGTCCCTCTCATCAAGCAGATCCGTGTCCATGCAGCCCTTGTACATGGTCTTTGCCATGCCCACGGCAGCAGGCTCCTCACTACTAATATTCGACTGTAGAAAAGAACGAACCACACGCATTACATGCGCCTGTCGCTCCCGGAACCAATCATTCGAGGTGGCCGAATCGGGACGTGGATGTTCGTTGGCCCAGCGGCCGCAGGTGAATTTGTAAAAGTCCTCGCAAGGATCAGTCTGTTCGTCCATGGCATAAATGAGGCTGGCCGCTGTGCGGATGCACTCCTTACTACGGCATATATGACTAGATTTCTTAACTGAACCAAAAAGCAGCCGATTAAAGAGTTAGCGATCTGAGGGAGCTCTAAATATTGTCCAGATACTCACACGTTATGCTTATGACTATGATTGTTATCAGCAGAATGACTACCAGGGCTGCCAAAATGCCCAGCACGACCTTGTGATAATAGCTGCGACGAAATCTGTGAGGACAAAAAATCAAAATTCCTTCGTCAGAATTCCTTAGTAATACTTAGCTCCTTTGTAACAAGAACTTCTTTTTAAGAGAACTGCATATAAGAACTAAAATAAATTCCTCACTGAGGGATCCTTTGTAAGAGATCATAAATAAGATATCATTAAAGAGAATTCCTTTGAAAAAAGTTGATAGTAAAAATAATGCGTTGTTAAGAGATCCCTAGTAAGAACTTTATAAAATGAACCTCTTAAGAAGAAGTCTTTAGTAAGGAGTCCTTCTAATGAATCCCTTAGTAAGAACTCATAAGAACTCTTGATTACTTACTTGGATTGGACGCCAATCAGATTGGAGTTAATGGTCTCGTAGGGCAGCTGTTTGCTTTGGGCACTGCCCGCCTGTCCATTTTCGCTAAAAGCACGAACTGGTGCCAGTTGGCCGGACAATAGATTCCGATTAGCTGTAATGGACATGCATTACATGGAGTTAGTTATATTAATACACTGCAATTTATTATATGATCATAGGGTATTATAGGTTTGACGTATTCAAAAATCGCACGACAATATTAATACGTAGTACCCCTTACTTTAAACTAATTAGCTCGCTGTTGTCTGTTTAGATGTCTGCCATTTGCCCATTTCCCCTGCTCTTTATCCCCACATATATTGCTGTCCAATCTTGATCCATTTGCTGGCTGTTCACGTCATTAGGCAGGAGTGCAACAATCCTTTTCCAGCCCGGGCTATGGACGAGTGGGTGGTTGGCTATTTGCAATTCGGACACGTGTGGCATGTTGCATTAACCTGTCACATTCAGCTGCAAAATGCATTATCCATTGGTTCAATGCACTGCAAGAGTTTTGCGTGTCCAGCGACATTAAGCTAATTTTGAAGCTGATATGTTTATTCCCCAAACGTGCATTTTATATCTATGTACTATATATAGATAAAAAAATTCATTTCTCGTGATAATTGAGGAGTTTTAAGTATCCTGTATACAAAACGAAATTGTAAAATCAATTTTTAACTCTCTAAAAGAAATTATCCGGCATCGTTCGGATCAAATGAATAATGTTGAAAATGTAATAGGTATCAAGATTATTTCCCGCATTTTCATTTCCATTTCTCAATATGTTAATCTAACTTCTTTCTGTCTGTATAATAACAAATATAATGCACACATATAGATATGTAAAACTTTAATGGATTTGAACCAGCGCCCTTTCGCTTGATCACAGACAGTCAGTTACCCATGACAAGCTCATTTAAGCATGTAGAGTAAAGATCTGTGATATTCCGTATAAGTTGATCTACTTAATTGTTTAATTAAAAACATCAAAATAAAGTCTCATCAATGAATGTGGATATATCGATGATTTAGTCCATTATTTCACCTAACCTTAACCCCAAAAATGTCAAAACACCATTTTTGGAAAAAAAAAATATCTTGCCATTTTTTATCTAATTTGGACTCACCAAATCTGTCCAAAAATCATGCGCAGCCAAATGACGATACATATCACAATTACAATAATGATTTTAGTAATGAAAACCAATGAAGGATCTAAGGGTTAAAGTGGTTGCTAAACAATACACATCAATATTACAAATAATAATAATAATAATAATAATAATAATAATAATAATAATAATAATAATAATAATAATAATAATAATAATAATAATAATAATAATAATAAAAATAATAATAATAATGATAATAAAAAAATAATAATAATAATATTACTAATAATATGAATAGCATAATAATTATAAACATAATTTAACAATATATATTAGATTTTTTTGTCACAAAAGGAAACAAATTTGATAGCATTAGAGAGTTTCGAGAAAAATTACATTTCTTAACAATGTCCAAAATTTTAACTTTATTTGGCTTTGAAACTTTCAACCTGGAAGTTAATATATACGCCATGGCTGAGGACGTATCTGGTATAACCGACTATATGCATCGTGCTGAAAAGCTAAACACAAATTTTTTTCAACCCTTGGAATTTGTCATGGAGCTATGGGCCGGCTTTCTGACTATAGCTCTAGCTGTGTATTTGCTAAATTGTGTTTCCAAATATAAAAAGGCGAAGCTCTTGGAGAAATCAAAAAAGCAGCAAAAGCAAACTGAAGAAATGAGCGAAGAGCTTATGGATATAGACTCAGAAAAATCAACATATGCATCCGAAACGGATCAAGAAGTAGAAAAATCTAATGCTAACACAATGTTGCCGAATGCAGTAAAAGAACCAGAGAAAGGTCAGAAAAAGGTCGATAGTTAATTTTTCATTGTTTGGTAAAGATTTATTTTTGTATTCCCCATCAGAGAGTAAATTAATAAAAGCAAGGTTTAAGTGTTAAATATTATGATATTATTCTTATTCGTCATCAAGTGAATAATTATTGCGCACGGTCAGTCGCTTACTTGAGGTTAATCTATACATATTTAAAGTCAAGCTATTTGCATTCCATTGTGGTTGCCTAATGAATCAATGCACCGCTTGTAACTCGAAAGTTCTAAATTGCTATGGATAGGGTGTACATATGTACATTCCTCATTGAGAAGTACTTTACTTTATTGATATATATATATAAAACTTTGAGGACTGACCAAATGACTGATTGATGACCAACACAAGCATAGCCCATTCTTTATTTACCTAAGGCATTACAAGCTTCCATCAGTGTGGAAAATTTGTGAAATCTCTTCGATTGAAATCAAAATCATTTCTAAAGATATTTATGGAAATTCATTTGAGAACTGAGAGCTTGGGTGGAGTAGTATATTTCACGATTTGGGAGTGGATGGAATAATATGTTGAAAGTTTGTAAAACAAAATTTAACCCATGCAAAGCCGGATAATGCCCACTATTATTGTTATAAATCAATTCGAGTTGTTCGGCTGCCTATTTTACACATCAATTTAGGTACTTTAATTGCGGATTGACAGCAATATGACTCACCCGGCGTTTGTAGACGCTGCAGCGGCAGCGGCTGTTGCTGCAGATTCTCATCGAAGTAGCCATTGTTGGCGCTGGAAGTTGTCCAGATGCGATTACGTGTGCTAGGTGGGGCAGCATCCATATTGGAATTGTCGCCGTTGCTGCGAAACCGCAACTTAGTTGATCTTAAATCGTTTATTCATTTTCCCCGTGGGATTTTTTTAGTTATTTGTTATTATTTTTTTTTTTTAATGAACGCTCGTATAAATTGTGATGTGCTTCATTAATATGCGTTGGCAGTCGCTGAATGTGGTTCACATAGAGGCGCACACCACATGTTGCGCATATAAATGAAGAGGTGCAAGCGTTTTGCTGGCGCAGATTAAGGCGTCGACACACGAATTCCGAAACTTCTCTTTAGCCTTTGACCTATGCAGTCAGTTGCATAATTGTGCATATAGCGAACCAGAGCAGCAGCCACTGTAAAACTCATAGGAAATATCGTATAATAAATATGAAGACCCAACCAGCACGGCCACTTGCACCGTACACGACTGAACTACCGACTGCCGGCGTATTGAAGCCGTGTTGAGGCCAACAGAAGGTTTTTATAAGGCCGCGCGACCCAGCGACAGCAACAAACAAACAATGCACAACAACAGCAACAAATCAGGCAACCACCATTAACTCCTTTTGCCATGCAAATGTGCTGCGGCAATTACAAGCCAGCACTCGCCAGCAGCAGCAACAACAACAAATGACAACAACAACAATGCGATTGTCTGACTGTCCAGCACATTATAATACACTCGCAGGACATGTGGGGCATGTCTACTTCCTCATACCATTGGTGTAGCCAAGCAGAGTATCTGTGGTCCACATCGAAGTTGACAGGCAATACAAATTATTTGTGTACATTTTCTTTTGGCAAGTAGTATTTGTTGGCTTTTTATATTCGTATATATTTTTCATTACAGATATATTATATATATAAAAAAGCCGTAAACGTAAACGTCATATCACGCTTACTGATATATTAACTATATGCTCTATAACCAAGCCCCTGTTCTAAACATCTATATAAAACTTGCACATTGTTGCTAGATTTGAGCTTATATGCCCCGATTTTGTTCATATTTTTTACACACTACTTTGACCATCGTTGTTCCCAAATATTTAAAACCTTCTTCAAAGTGCTCACTTTTGGGATAGGATAAAGCTTCAGTTCAAAATTTAGCGTCTTTGTACTTACGGTTGAAGCTGTGGGCTTATCATCAATCAGCTAGTTGGCCAGGACAAGCTCTTTTATATATTTATATAGATATGTCAAGCTCGCTTGAGTATATATGTATACAAATTTGAAAGGTTCCATATAAATCGTATACATAATATGCAATAATTTAGCAAGAGTATTTCATCTTCGTTAGCATACGTAGCAGTATTTTTCCTATACTTTATGGCTGCTAGGTCTGGGGAACAAATCAAAAAAAAAAATTGCCCAACCCAACTGATTGGCAGGGTAAGTGTCGTAATCGGGGGAAAAAAAGTCCATTAGAATTGGAGCCCGGTTGGAGGCAACCACATATAATTGATAAATATGGATATATATATATATATATATGTATATATAAAGATATATATATGATTGATGGTCGTGCAATACCCCAATGTCTGTTGTAAGACAAAATAATTGTTATTAAATGCCTACTTAAATACATATAAATATATATATTTGTTGTTCTCACACACATTTGGCCAAGTCATTCGCATTGTTCGACCTAACTTTGACATACTTACTAGGATATAGTGCGCCTAGAATCGATAAATATTATCGATTTGCCGCGCACCAGGGGCAACAGCTAACAAACCAAAAATGCAGGCAACAGACACAACGCGCATACGCCCCGTGTGCCAGCAAATAACTAATGTATTTGTGTGCGTGTGTGTATGTGTGTCTGTGTGGGTGTGTATTTACACACATCAGCTGTAATTAGTTTACACAGCGTGCGCTCAGAATTATTATTAATAAGCAAATGCATGTTTACATGCTGCATACTGTTGGCCATGTGGCTAGTTGGCCAAAAGAAAAATGTTTCAGCTATTTACTTTGACATCGTGTTCAAGTTGGGTAACAATGGAGTTCAAAGAACTTTACTATTGCCCACTGACGAGACAAATGCACACACATATTTTAGAATATCACATGTTATACTCTGTTCGAGCATTGCGAAAGGGTATATCGCTTACGTCCACTAGGGGGCTGACCAAAGGCAAATATCTATATCAGCCACAATTTTGGAGCTAGTTTCATTTATATCCAATCGAACCAAAGCGCACAGTTTGAGTGTGACTGCTTTAGAGTTACAGTTTGAGAGTTACTTTGATACCCTGCATTGAACATGTTTAAGAAATGAAAATTGGTAAGAAAGAGTTATATGAAATTTCTCTTAGCCAGATTGTCAGATAGATGTTATTCGACATTTCCTAATCACAGTTTGAAATTGATTGTCTTGCAGTTGCAGTTTTAGAGTTACCATTAAAATAATACAGGCATTCAAGAACTTTAGCAGGTAATCTGACTATTTTTCTAAATTTAGCAGGTTATCTGAACAAGCTAAGCATATTCCACAAATTATTTAACCAAAAATTGTCGAGCCGCAGTTTAAGAGTCACTGCTTTAAGTTTACAGTTTTAGAGTCAGCAGTACAATAATCAGAGAGAATCTATTCGACGCATTTCACACCATAGACAGAGTATCTTATAGTCGATTGCAATTCTTTGACATACTTTTTTTTGCGCGTGATATTTGATATTTCAACATAGCTTTTAAAGTTTGTACTTTATTTAGATTTATTTTTTCTGTTTTTTTTTTTGTTTATAACTAAGACTAATTACATGCATTTATTCTAGACTTTACATGGAAATTAAGCAGAGTGGAAAAGTACGACATGAATTTGTTTTCAGCATAAGCGCAGCGTCAATAAGTAATATTTTGTAAATACTAAACCTTATAATAAATTTATGGCTAATCAATGAGTTTTTGCAATTATTATTAGGCATTAGGTATAGTACTGATTATTTATACTTATTTTAAGATACGTTTTATGTGCATATAAAACAACTAGTCTACGGATTATAAAAACAATAAGACCCTAGACAGTTTGGCCTGCCATTCTGTGGTGGGTGAAACTTGTTGCTGCAAATGAAAACAAGAAATTATACAATTTATATTAATAAAATAACAAAATATTGTAACAATTCGAACTATTCATTGTGCTTGATCTAGTTAGCTTTGTGTAATTCTCAGTCAACGTCGTTTTTCAAAAAAAAAACCACACACACACACTTCTAGTCTTTATAGATATGCCTTATAAGTTACAACAAACAAATAAATATTTCGGAAGTATCAGGAAAGAAAATCTACGAAAATCGAAAACTTTTTACGTTCGCTTGTGTTAAATTTTGTTTATATAAGTTTTTGCTCCTTTTGTTTTTTGATCGAGAGGGATATTTGTTTTTAAGAGTGACTGATAATGGATGGTATGTTTGGAAACCTGAGCCAGAGATTTAAGCAGCTGAGCAACGTGGAGGGCAAGCGTATGGCCATCAAGCTGGTTGGATTCTATGCCATGGGCTGGACGCTTCGGAAGCTGATTAAGTGAAGTTAATGAAGCTATATATGTGTAAAAATTTGTGTATATATATATAGCCAGTCCAAATTTCGTGTGCCGTTACATTATGAGCATTTAAAGCAAATCGCTTAAATATATTGCTTACATCAAAATCACATGTGCAGAGATTGGCTCGACATCCTAAAATCAACATTCAGATTGGTTTTTGCTTAGTCTCAGGGTTTGCTCTCTACCGAGAATTTGCTCTTTATGACGCACTTGCAGCAGGAGGGTATCTTGAAGGGCTCATTGGCCACCTCGGGCTGGCCGCTGCTGTCATTGTTGATGGTGGCCAGATGACGTATCACATAGTGCTGCTTGCAGACGGGCACATAGTTGTTGGGAAAGCTGTCCAGAAATTGGCAGCTCTCGCCCTCGTGACTGAAAGAGGGAAATCAAGTTTTTTGTTAGCTTGTTAGCAGATTAAATTAAATCTTGCACTTACTCGCACTCCTCGATGAGTATGCCCTGTTTGAACTTATCCGTGTTGACTATATACTGCCAGGTCTGATCCAATTTCTGGCCCAATTTTGGGTACAAGTACCGCACATGGCTGTTGCACAAATACTGTTCGTCATCGTTCATCCGCAGTCCGAAGTCCGTGGGCTGCGGCTCGTCGCTGAAGAAATTGGCAAAGCGACGCGACAATATGCCCGTCAGGCCGGACAAATCCGGATAGTTGTTCACCTTGGTGCAAAAGGAGCGACTCTGATTGAACCCATCCACGCACTGTAGATCCCCAGTATCGATGGGCGCCGGTTGGGCTGGTCGATACTTATCTAAAGAGTCGGGAAACACGATAACTGGACGTTATGCAAGCGCCAAGGGAGTTGAACGTGTATTCGAGTATGATATCGATTTAGTTTGTTAAGTTGTATCAAATGTAATTGGTATAGAAATGTTTTTCGTTGGGGCAAGTATATTGTTTGATACTCTGTTCGCAAGGTGCAAAGGGGTATATTTGTTTTGGTCTTGCTGAAGAGTTGCAACGTGAAATATATATTCGTTAAAAATATGCAAGTAATAAAATCAATCTATAAATAGGTAACAGTTTTAAAGAGATTGGCTTAGTCAGTGTTAGGTACGAACGAAAGTATACACATTGAAATTGTTTATCCTATTATGCAGGTAAAGTATTCAGATTGTGGAATTGGACCTTTCCCTACCACGGCTTCAAAACGTCTGCCTTGGACTCACATTAAAGATGTTCAAAATCATTCTTTAGTCACAAAAGGTCTGCATTCGGGTTACAGTTTTACAGTCAGCCCCATTGATTAAGAACGTTGTAATTCTCTTTAAAAATGTTTCTCACGTCACTGATTAAGAGACACTGCAATCGGCTTACAGTTCTCGAGTCACCTTGGAAATGTTTAAAACCATTTAATAAAATGACACTCGCCTTTTATGTAGGAATTATATGCTGCTTAAAGTTACAGAGTCACATCCAATAACAACACGTTCCCATTCCTTAAGTTACAGTTTTAAGGACATTGCATTGGGATTACAGTTAAAGATTCACAGCGAAAGAACCAAAAAGACTTTTTCGAATGATTTAAAATTCAATTGCATTGTGAACAGAGTATTAAGCAGTCGGTTGCACCAGACTGCAATGTTTTTACATAACTTGGGCTACTCACTGTCTGAGATGGGGCGACGCGGCTGCTGTGGCTGCTGTGGCTGCTGCTGCTTCGGCGGCTGCTGCGGTGGCTGCTGCTGTGCGGTGCTCTGCAAAGAGACGATGGGTTCATTAAAGACAAGATTCAGCTTGCCATCCGGTGAGCGTTGCACTTTGAACGACTGTTGCTGATGATTCAAGCTTTGATATTGATGATAGTGCTTGGGCTTGGGCTGAGACGAAGACTGAGACTGGGTTTGAGTGTGAGTGGGTGTTGGCCAGGACTCGGTTGTCTGGTGCTCAGCGGATATGGGCATGATGGATGCATCATCGTTCGTGGCCGTCGTCTGTGTGTGTAAATTTTGCGTTAGTTTTCTCTGTTTTTGTTTCCTTTTCATTTTTTATTATATTGTTTTTTTTTTTTCGCTAAGCCGAATCAAAACGAAGCACACACAACACACAAACACACAGAAACACGGTTAGTGGACGAGTTGATGAGTTGATGTGGAATGCGGAATGTGGAGTGTGAATCCGATATGATATGTGGGTGCATCCTTACACTTACATTAAAAAGCATCACACCATGGCCATCGTGCACTTTGAATATGGAACGGACGCGCTCGTCAATATCCTCGGCGGGCAGCTGCAGTGAAAATGTCAAAACGAGAAAGTGGGAAAACGTTTAGTTTTCAAATTGTCAAGGGCACGCACATAAGAAGAAGTAGAGGAAGAAGAAGAAGAAGAAAGAAAAGAAAATAGAAAACCCAAAGAACAAACAAACGCAACATATATATATGCAACATTTAACATTTAACGCATTCAAAATTAATTTAATTTAAACATTTAGAACAAGCAATTCGGGGCAGACCTCCACCTCGCCTAGATCCCGTTGCGGCTGCTGCTCCTTGGATGGGTCCTGCTCCTGCGCCTTGGTGCGCATCATGTTCAGTAGATTGTCGGAGACAAAGGACATCGTCTCATTGGAGCTGCTGTTGGCCTCTGCAGCGGCTGCCTCGCTGCGTCGCTTCGACATTTCGCTATTGATACAAACTATCTGAAAGATACATGTGGAAGGTTTTTGTTTGCCATTGATCAACATTGCCGACTGTACACGAGTAGAGCGTGGAAAGCGGAAAGGGGTAAGTGGAAAGGGGTGGCGGGTGGGGAGGGGAAGGTAGATGCGAATAAGTTAGCGGTGACTGCCGCAACTGCTAAATGTTGCCCAAACACTTTATCATTTGGCAATTACAACAACAACAATCACAACAACTGCTTTTCGCCGATGACACCAACCGATCCGCGCTTGAGTAATCAGCATGTGTACATATGCGTAAGTGCCTGGCGACCATAGATTATGATTATACGAATACTTAGTACTTGGGTATATAGGTAGTATATGGGTGGTATATAAAGTGTGCCATGAAGGGAGAACTACTGAATGATTTTATTTGTTTCGCATTTATATGCACAGACGCACATTTCTCACAAGTTTCTATTCTTGGCTTTATATATTATACCCTATGTATCCTATGCAAGGGGTATTTTAATGATGTCAGGAAATGCAGCCTTAATGTGAATATGTATTCCTGATCTTTGTCAACAGTCGAGGCTAGCCCACAGCTTGTCTGCTTCTAAGCCAACTGGTCATTCAACATATATAAAGAAGTTGATCAGATCAACTCACTATATAATATGTCTGTATAGATATGGGAGCGCTTTGTATGAAAATCACTTTTTGGTTCTTAAAATAACTTGCTATTCCTTCAAAAGAACTATCGTAAAAACCTTTACTTTCAATGATAGTTTAACTAAGAACAGCCATTACACTGCGAAAAAAAGGCAAGTAGTTTGTTCTCAAATTAAACAAAAACGATCGCAAAATCTCAATATCTTAAATATTTAGTTATTTGCACTTGATTCAATATACACATACTTATTTGAGCACGCTTTGTATTAGATTTATTGCACTTAAAATATTAAATTCAAATATATTCAAATTTCAATTCAGTTTAAACCAAATCGCAACTTTATATATATTTTTCTCAGTGTACGAGCTGCACTCTGGCCCCACTCCACATACATATAAACAAAGTCCTAACAAAAGTTGAATTTATTCATTCCTATAGAAACAACTTTGTATGACTAAGTGCAAGTGTATTTCTAATTCGGCATGCCGCGAGCTGCAAAGTCTTAATTGCATTTGATTTTGCTTACCTTGCCTGACTAAGCAAGGGTATTTATGCGTCGGCAATAACTCGTCTTACTTGTATTTTTTGTTTACCTCTTTGGCAGCCTCTAATATAATTGTTATTTGGCAGCTGCCTTGCATGTGTCAACAACAACAGACAACAACTTAATAAAAAACAAACCTAAAAAAAAGCTATAAATATATAACAAACAAAATAGCTAACAAAAGTCAAAACAGAAGTTTTGGAAACTCACAAAAGTCGCTGAAATTTGTGCGCACATTTCAATTTGCTTAACTTGGGCTTTAGCCTGCCGTAAAGTTTTTTATAAATCTGCCCCCAACTCAGCTCGAGCTATAAATAGGCTTAATTAAAGGTAATAAATTGATTCTGGTTAGATTACACAAATTTCTTCTGGTTAGTTTTTCCCAAGCAATTAACCGCCGAACACAGCAAAAGTACATATCAAATTGATTTATCTTTTTATTTATAATTAGATTTTTCAATTTATGAACTTTCTTTCTGCCTTACAGATAATGTGCTCCAGCCAGGCGTCAGCCCTTTGACCCTGCTTCGGCTGATATCGCCTCAAGCGCAGTGATAAGCGTGTGGCAAGTGTATTGAAATTGTTGGAAAACTCATTTTGAACATGTTTGCTATTCGTATATTCAAATTTGTGCACACACAATTGGAATTCCAATTGGAATACAATTTGTAATTAAGTTTCTAGTTGAAACATTGTTATTGCACAAATCAATAAACTATAAAAGTCGTGTGCGAGCTGTCTGTCGGGGCAACTATTATTGCAATACCCATTCGAATGCGCATTAATCAAGTTCACGGTAAGAAAGTTGTATGAAATTAAGGTGGGGAAAAGAAGAGAAACGTAAACAGGATATATGCCCTATAATATATGTATATATCTATATGTGTATTATGATTGAGCGTTATATACAGCAGATGCAGTTAGCTTCATAAATTTATGTATATGCATTAATATATTTATATAACATATACATATGTTAAATGTTAGCCACAACCATGCACATTCATATTTTGAATATTTATTTTAAGTTAAGCAAGCTCCAGCTATAAAATAATTAAAATTATAAACATTCGAAAACTCACCGTGGCGAAGAGCGCGAAGAGCAGCAGCATAATTTTGATCAGTTTCCACCACATGGGAGGCATTTTCTTATTAGCTCTAGGAATTTTCTTCTTTTTTTTTTTTATTAATATTTATTTACAAAAAGTTGCCAAGTTTTTACAGGGTAGCTGGTCGTCTGTTTTGAGACACGTTTGCAGGCAAGCTTGTTAGACTGTGCGAGTGTGTGTGTGTGTGTGTGTGTGTGTGTGTGTGTGTGTGTGTGTGTGTGTATTTGACTGTCTGTGTTTTTTATGCGCTTTACGTAGTATATTTAATAAACAAACTGGCACGACTAAAATGATTGCCGGGCTTTATTTGCCTGCTGTTGTAGTTGTTGTTTTTGTTTTGACTGTTTTTTCTGCCTTTTTTTTTTATATTTATTATTGTAGTTGGTGTCGAAGCTGCTTTTAGTTGTTGCTGTTTTTTTGTTGTTGTTGTTGTTGTTGTTCATGAATGTTTCCAGCCGCCTCTTTGCTTATTCCGCTTTGTTTTTGTTTCCTTTGCACAGTGCCTGCAAACAGCTACCGACGACACTTGAATTAGTTGCGTTGCTTTTCACTTTAGTATTTGCTGCTTCTGATTTTGTATTATTATTATTTTTTCTTTCGAGATGGTTCGCAGCCCGTGGTGTTGCTCTAGGCTTGACCTTGCCTAAAATGAAGCCCAGTTGGCGCGATGCAAGCGCTTTTAAGCAGCCGTCTCCGTGTCTCCGCGCGCGTGTTTTTTCCCCGGCGGAATATTTATAGTATAAGTCGTGTGGGAGACGCGCGTCTTTGATAATAAGCATTAATATTTAATTTCAACTGCACATGAGCTTTAACTGTTTGGCGGCGACGACGACTGCGCAAGCGAGAGCGACAGCGACAGCGAGAGCGAGAGCACACAGCAACTGGCTACACACACGCTTATCGTTGCGCGCGACAAGAAAGCAACTGAACGACAAGTTGAAGCTCAGACAATGTACAAGTGCAGCTTTAAGCAAAGCTTAACGCAAGTCATATTGAGTAGGAAAGAGAGAGAGAGCGAGAGAGAGAGAGCGATCGCTTGGCGGCAGGCCGGCAGTGATCGCAGCTGTTACAGCTGTTTTTATCCATGTTAAATGCTTACAGCGTGACGTCACTATGTAAGCTGTGTCTTAATATGTAAGCTCTTGAAAATTACCAAGAAATACTTAACATACGTAAGAAACCCAAGCTTATTTAACAGCAACGCAAACAGCTGTTTTACAGCTGAAAGGAAAAGTGAAGCTTTTGGCTTAGCAGTTTGCTACACTAAACAGTTTATCAAGCACACACACACACACACAACCTCACCTACATTACAGAGCGCGCTTCCAGCACGCGTCACCTGGCGCAATTGGCCAACGATCTTCGAAGCCACTTAGCGGGTTCTCTATCCATTGGGAAAGACGATTACTCATTGGGAATATCCACACTCATTGTTAAGCCGCAGGCGTACAATAAAAGCCATATTGGCAAAGAAAAAAAAAACAAAAACAAAAAGGTAGCACTGACGTAGCACACTCAAAAGTTAAATATAGTCAGAATTTAAAATGCATTTAGTCATAAACTTCTCGACTTGCAGAGGCCTGTTACGTGGACTTGACTTTTTAACGAGTGAATAATAATCTTAAGCTTGCGTTCCAAGTATTTCACAAAAACATTCAATCTAATTTGAGCTGAAATACTAAGAATCGGCTATCAGTGGAAACTGGCTGAAGCACGCTTATTTTGAATAGATAAGCCAATAAATAGATATTAAATAATACAAAAATGTAATACATTTTTTATATGTGGAAAAGGAAAATATTTATGTGTATAGATCGGAAAATTACCAATGATTGTAATTTTCTCTGTAATCGTTAGGTCGATGATAGCATTAATTTTCTTTATTTTCATTTAAATTATTTTAATTTAATTAATTTTTATTATTCCATTTTAATTTATATTTTGCCAACACGATATTACAAAGTAAAAAGATGCGCTACTTCCATTATTTACATGCTATATATGTTTCTTTTCCAAAAAGTTGATAGCAATTTTAAGATTTTGTTCAAAAAACAATATATTTTAGTGTTAGGAAATTACAAAATAAGACATTTATAAAAAAACACAATATTTACTTAGATCTTAAATAATAAATAAACACTTTATATAGAGTTTCTTTTTTCAATTAAAAAATTAAACGTAGTCTGCAAATTTTGGTCATATAAAATTATTGGTGCATACTTTTAGGGAGCGCGATTTTGATTTGCATATTTTTTGGGTGTCTTCGAATTAGTGAAAATGTGAAGCGAAGTGAAACAAGTTAAGTAAAATTTGTGGCCAATTACCAAGTAGTTAACAGAAAAACTGTTGACCTTTTAGTTCAGAGATATCAAAGGCAACAAAAGCTTCGAGCCCATTAAATTAATGGACCCGAAAAAGGCCTTTTACTAATTTCAAGTACTTGCCACGCTCTTGACTATTTGGCTAACTGGTCATCCAGCGAATGGCCAAAAAAAATGTTAATACTTATAAATTAGCTAGGAAATGTCACTATTAGAGCCCATTAATTAGTCACAGCAGACAGACGCGAGAGCAAATCGAGAATTATTATGAAAACGAAATTGCGGGGCAAACTTAGCGAGAAAATGGTGAAATAGTCATGGCTCGTAATATATGCTGGTTTATGCGATTCGACAACAAAATGATAAATAATGAAATTGCATTGCGCATTCAATGCAAATAAAAACTGATAATAATAAAAAGAAAAAAGCACACAAGCCACTCGTAAAGTTAAATAAAACGAGCTACAATTAAAGCGCCAGCTGGAAAATTGTGGACGCACCGCGAGTCGTCGTCGTCGACTTCGACGCCGACGCCGACGTGTGGCAATTGCAACATATGCAATTCCAGCCATGACAGCAGCTCGACGACACGCAATGCTGCCGCTGCCCAGGTGCTACCGCACATCTACGTACGGCTCGGCAATAAATTCGCAGGCAAAAGAAACCCCCAGAGAGCCGCCCAAAAAAATACCCTTCCAGACATATTAGCAAATTTGCTATTAGATATGTTATTTAAAAAAACTTAACTTTCAACTTGATATAAGTATACTTTGAGATATAAAATTTGAGATTTTATAAAATTTTAAATTTCGGACAATAAAAATTGATTGAAATTTTTCATATTGATTTTGCTGACCTTTGCATATTTAAATCTTTATTTTAAGAATAATTTGAATACTTTATTTCATAAAATTTACTGGAGCTGGATGAAGCTCCTATGTGCAAAAAAAAAAAACGTAAAATAAGTTCTTGCTTTTAAAAACTTTGGTTGATTATTAGAGAATATATATTATTAGGAGTACAGTGAAGCTAGTGAAAAACAATTTTGATTAAGATATTTAGAAAAATGTCGATCATAACATAGATATCATATATATTGATCAGGCTCTGACCCCGACATTATGCACTGACTGTAACAAAAGGACGTAGTCTCTTAAAAAAAGCTTCACAACTTGAAAAACTACTAAAAATAGACTCAGGAGCAAGGGACATGCTCATAGCTACATGCTTTGCTGCACGTTACACGCTGCATGACAAAATTGTAATAGCCTGCGCAAGGGTATGCAAACTAAACAGCTGGCATGCGGCAGGATGCTGCTGCGGCGCCTGCAGTTAGTCAATTTGTCAGCCGGCAATAGGCGATTGTATCATCGGCTGGATTAGCTGCCACATTCAGAGGCACATTGTATGAGGATAGCGGCAGTCGCATCTGCGGAATGCCGCCAAAGAAAAAAAACATATCGATCTGGAGCTGGCGCAGACTCCGCGTGCAAGCTTTCACTTTTCGGCAACAACAACAAGAGCTTAACTCCTGGGCTCCAGCTGCACGATCCTACAGACACAGTTACTCAGCTGGAGCTGGACGCGACTGTTGAAATTTGATTATGCGATGGCGGCGGCCACTTCCGCTAAATGGCAAAGAAACGAGTCCATTTCCGAAATTTAATTTTATTTCGATTTTTGTCGTTCGGCTCGGGCAGCGCGACTTTTGAAGTTGAAGTTCATTGCGCAACGCAACAGGAAGTCCACAAAGTCGTCGGGGATGCCATTATCATTTCTTTTTTTTTCCATTTTTCTAATGTTGCAACATTTTGCAAGTGCTGTCAAGGCGAGCGCCCGGCCTGTTATCGCATTTCTCGTTACACTCTGAAAACTTTTGACAGACTTTTTTCTCTTCTCTGTTCATTTTAATTTTTATTTGGTTTTCAATTGCTCCACGTCAATTACCGAAACGAGTGAGTGAAAAATTAAAAACCGCTTTTTGAGCTGCTGCATGGCAACTATTTAACAAGAAATCAAAGCAATTGGTGCTAAGCAATATGTTATGCATTTTATTTGCATGACTGTATTTACGAAAAGCTGAAGGAAATTGGGTAATTTGCTTTAACCTTATTTTTAAATGTCTCACAAAGTCTGCTTCCGGAATCTGTTATTTGATAGCTTTGAATCCAGGACCTGGTTGGAAACTTGATTCGTTATATTCACCCAACTTTAGAATAGAGTTGGAGAATAGAGTGTAGAGAAATATATTATTTCAATTTAATTGTATACATATATTAGGAAATCAGGTATATATATTTAACGAAATAAGTAAAATTTAACAAAGTATCCTTTGTATCCTTAGTTATTATAATTTATTCGAATATGCAACAGAAATGACTTCGATCATAGATCTAGAAAAGAATAAAATTCAGTTCAGGCTTGTGTTAAGCAAAAACGTTTGATTCCGAGTCAGAAACAAATTGATTTTAAGGAAAAATATACATTAAAACACAATTGAGACAGCAAAAAAAAATGTTTACAAATAAATACCAATATAATAAATAAATTAAATTTCACATCAAATACGTATAAAAACGAATAAATATTAACAAAAATAGGGGATATTTTTATTAATTTTTACATATTGTATAAACTTTGTTAGATCTGTTAAGCTGAATTAAATGTACTTCCCAAGCAGAGACATCTTTAAAATATTTAAAATAATTTCTAATTTGATTTTCAATCAATTTTTCGAAGCTCTTTTCTTGCAGCTTTTTTTCAGTGCACTTTGATAAAAACAAAAAAAAAATATTTTCAGCTCTCACTTAACAGTATAATAACATACATATATGGTATTACTAATCCTACTCCACAAACAAAGTAATATCAACTAAATATTTAAATATTCCCACCATATATACTAACTTCCAAAGCTCACTCCAACCTAAAAAATTGTATTACTTATAAGGTTACATGTACATATACCCCAAATTACAACTAGATCCTTTAGATCTTGACCTCAGTAGCCAACGCCATATTTTTGTTAGATTAGCTTTAATTTTAACTTAACTATCCTACATGTAAATATATAATAAATAATAACAACAGCTATATGCATAAATTATGTTTTTTGTGGGAAAATTGTTAAAATTCAAACTAGATTTGATTGCTTCCTTCCTTTCTTCCTGCTGCACTCGACCGGTTTGACGGTGTTGTATACGTAATTTATTTGATTTTTGTATGCCATTCTTGCATTTGCAGTTTGTTGGACATGTGAAGCGTTAATTTCATTATTATTATTTATCATAACCAGATGTGCAATCAGCCGAAACTGATGGCCTGTGTCGTAGCCAGTCGCTCGTTTAGCGACTATCGACCCGGTTGGCACACAATTGTCGGCCCGGCGCTATGGTCAAAACAAATTACTGGAAAACAATTGTATTTCAGCTCTCGGAAACTCTGCATAAGTTGCATGACTTGTTGACAATTCAGTAAGCAGCTGAATAATAAAACAATTGAACGGGCAAATTGTTGACAGAGCTAAACTAGACGCACTTTGAAATAAACAGAAATTAAAACAGTTCATAGACTAAAAGAAATGAAAAGTTGTTGAAAAGAAATGCAATAAACCTTTTGTGATCTCCACTAAATCGATTATCTTTGGGTTATGGCCGGCCTGGCAGTCAGTTGCAGCTTCTTGGCTTAGGGGCAGCTCGCAAATGCCTCGAGTGTGTGTGCCAACAGCAACGTTTATTACATGAGAGGCCTCTTTGATACCCTGTATACATGGAAAATGGGTATGCTAAGGGCGCAATGGTTATGTCTATATCGTATTTAACATGCAGAATAAGGCTGCTCACTTGATTTAGCCACGCCTGTTTGACTAAATAGGTATCGATATTGAAACAAGCTGCTCCCATCATAGGATATATTTATTCTCAATCAAGTCGACGAAAACACTAGATAAAGCTATCGTTTGTCTCTATTTCAGAGGTTTTACTCCTTAATATAAAAGCTGACTGCACTTCTGACAGTTGAAAAATCCTATAACATTTACATACATATCGATAGACATATCGATGGGTTTCGATATTGCAACAAGATGTTTCGATCGTAAAGCATATATTTTCTCTATCAAGTCAACGAGCTCACTTGATCTGGCAACGTCTATTTGTCTATATTTAAGAGCTTTTATTCTTTGATAGAGAAGCTGACTGCACTTCTGACTGCTGTCAGATCCATATACATATATATCGATAGGTGTCGATATTGAAAGAGGTGCTTTTTAGGTATATCTAGAATATGTCTAGGGACACTAAACTAGGAACACAAATTTTAGTATTAATAGCTGGCTTTGTGCATACCTTACCCCGTTTTCCGTGCGAATACAAGCATTCGACAAGCATTCACTCAGCTATCGACTATAGGGTATCTGCGAGGCGAACCCTCTCGATTAAGGTAGTCCTTAGTTACTTTGTTTTGATTTTATTTTTATTTACTTTTCCTTTGCATTTTCAGCAAATTTACAGTTTGTTAACTGCAAGTACATACGTATTGTATTTTGGCTACGGTTTTCCATGTTTTCATGTTGCAGTTGTGTGCGCCCATTTCACTTTTGGTTAGATAACCGCCGTCCACGGCAACTCATGCAGGGAGGGGAGCGGTAAGGGAACGTAGCCGCAGCGGCAGCTTAACTGCAGTCAGCAAATTGTGCACTGAACACTCCGCTGCGTAGGACAATGACAGTAGCCAGAGCCAAGTTATGTCAACTTTTCGCCCAGTCATTGCCAACGTTTGCCCTCTTTGGCAGCATAACTTTTGCAACCGGCGGCCGGGCAACAGAAATGGGAACAGTTCACGTCACTTACACTTGGGAGGGGGGGGCGGGCGCACATCTCAACGAGTCTTGAGCCAGTTGGAGTTTTTTCTTGAATAGTTTTTTATGCATCTTTTCGCTGCTTTAATTGTTGACTTTGGCTGTGCGCTGGAGCCGCTGCTGTTGACCCTTTGGGGGTCGCCTTTGGCTCAGTGACAGTGAACTGTGACCTAACTAAAGCTAAGCTAAAACAATTAGTTGATATATTAGATAATAATACCCTGAACCATACTCTGAGGTTCGAACTCTGCTCTCCGGGGCTCAATTGCAATGCGACATGGTTCAAGGCTGTTGGCGCAATTGGCAACCACAAAATAGGCCAGTTCATAAGCAAACCAACAATTTCAGTGAATGTAAGCTAACAGGGATATAATTTTCCTATTGGCAATATATAAACAATGTATACGTGGCCTAAGCAGTCAAAATTTCTTAAGTTAGTTAGTTATAAAATAAATGTTTCCAATAATCGGCCAGCAATTTTGACTATAACATGGCTATAACAAATGGAAAAAGTTATTAACAGCACACTTAATCATAGCAAATATTATAAATAAAATAAAATGAACGAACTGAGCACAAAGTTTAAGGTTCGAACTCCCGGAATATATTGTAATTAGAATAGGAAAATAAATATTTATTTATTTTTTCAAATAATGAATAATTTCATGGAAAATACTATAAAATTAAAAACTATATTCCGATTATCAAATTCAGTGATGAAGTAAACTAAAAAAATAAAAAAAAATAAAAATACAAATGGGTTTTCTCAATATACTACTGTAATCACAATTATATGTTAGAGTTATTAAGTATCAAATAATCTAAATTATTAAAAAATGATAAAAAAAAATTGTTTTCTTTATTTTAATTTAACACCAGATAACTGCGTGCATTAAAAAAAGAATCAATCGAAATTAATTAGCCGTTTAGAAAAATCTTTTTAAAATCAATTTCGTGTTGTGTGCAGTTCTTGCTGTCAAACAAATCGGCTGAACCGCTTCAAGTTCGTTGCCTAAGTCTTTTGTTTTGGTCATGCCACGAAAGTGAAAAAAATAAAGCCAAAAACAAATCGAATGGCCAAATCGTTGCAATTAAACACGTCCAAGCCGCAAATTTAATGAGCCGGCTGCACATGTGTGTTGCAAGCTAACAAAAAAAAACAAATAAAAGAAATAAAAAATAAATAACGCATTGAACTCGGCAACTGGCGAACCGCATGCCCCTCAACTAAGGCCAAACTCAATCGACTCTCAAAAAAAAGCTGCCAAAATAAAAAATGCAGTCTCGTATTTTTCAAATGAGCGACGACGACAACGTCGGCGACTCTTCGCCTAGCCACTAAGAGCAACAAAAACAAAATCTCATGCAGGCGCTCTCAGTGAGTTTTCTTTAAAAGAGCCACACAGCCAGATTTTGGACTACAGTTCGAACGCAGACGTCGCCGAGGAGCCACCTCCAAGAAAGCAAAACATAGCGCTCCAGCCCCCGCATCCAGAGTCAAGCGAAAGTCGACGCGAACGCCGCGCGTTACATTGAAATCAGTGTGTGTGTGTGTGTGTGTATGTGTATATGTGTGCTTTGTGGCCACAACCAAAGAGTCGAAATATATAATAAATAAATAAAGGAAAAAAACACACACAAAACAAAAGCGAAAAGATACGACAAAATTTTGGTGCCGAATTGCAAGTGTGTTCAGTGAGAGGAAAGTTTGTGTAAAGCATATTGAAGTCCAGGCACAAGTGTGTGAAGCGGTTGCTCCAAACGATTAGCGACCCAAGCTAATCAAAAGCCCAGCCCCAAGCCGACGCACAAGCACACTCACACATGAACATGAAGGTAAGCTTGATTCATCCCAGTGTCTAGTGAAAGTGTTTCGTGCCAATAACCAAATGACCAAATTGGCGCAATAATATGCAACATCTTTTTTGGAAGACCACAAAAACAAGTTCAAGTGCACGGGCCACAAAACGAGGAAACTTGTTTCGCGCTTCAGCTGCGCTTTATTAGCCAAACAAACATAGGAGAGCGCATCCATGAGATACAAAATTTAATTCGATTATATAAGCCAGCGTAACGCAACAAAGCCCAAAATGCGCCTGAGGCATCTGCCCCTGGTCGTTGATGCATGAAATGCATTTGATACTGCTACAACTCAAATTCACACGCACACACTCGAGCACAAATTGTGAATATATTTGTGAATACACTCAAAAGTTCAACGCTTAAGATTATGTCAGTAGCCAATCGCCAGAAATGCGGACCAGTTGAATGAGTGCGAAGTCAAAATGTCATGCATAATTATTATGTCAGACGTTGTCTAGTCTTTCATGTTGTTGTTTTTATTATTATTATTGTTGTCGTCAATGTTGCGGCTTTCGAAAAAGTTGTGTAGAAATTTGCCTAAAATGTTGCGAATATCTGAGCAAAGCAAACGACTTAAACGAATGAATAAGCACATGTGCCAAGCACAGAAGCCGCATGGTAAGACAATTTAAGCGCGTATTACGAAAAAAACAGACAGAATGACTCTCTTTGACAAGCCGAATATATAATACCCTTGTAGATAAATGGCTGAATGGCAGACTGGTGATGCTCCCAGTTGTCTAGCTTAGAAAAATCTTTAATCTCACCCAGAGCACATCCCTTTTCGGCAAATTCATCCTATAGAGATATATGGTGTGATACCTTAAATGGAGTAATCGATTGTTGATCTATCTTAAATGCGAAGAGTATGGTACTACTCTTAAGTTTGATTAAAAGAAGAATACAAATTGAAAAGAAACTTATTTTCTGACCTTATCGCTTCTATGACAGCTACATTATATAGTGCTCAAAACCGCACGATGACGACAAATCCTTTGCTTATCTATAATATTTAAAATATTTAAACTCTTAAAAAAGTCGCGCAATCTAATTTATAGCGCCTAGAATCTATTCTATTCATTTTTTACACTTGCCAACCAGGTACATATATGCCCAAATTATCCCCGAGTATGAAATACTCGTCTAATTTTCTGGCAGAGCTCAGCTAGTTATCTGAATTGTTATGTAAAATAAGCATACTTTTAGAGTTGCAAATGCTCTTCATAATAATAATAATAATATTCACTGCCTACTATTAGCCCGATTTCTCTGTTATTAATTTATTCATTTAGTTGCCAAACAATTGCCGTGTATATAAATAAATACAATATAATACAATATATAAAACATTTATGAGCTAGTTGTAAAAAAGCTTTCAAAAAATATATATCAAGTTTTGAATAACGTTTTTGAAACCACGGTGCTCTTTTGTTTCGTAGATGAAGTTAAGCAATGTTTAAATAAAAATTATATAATTACAAAATCCTGTACAAATCAGCTCCCAGTCAGTCTTGACATGATCAAGAAATATTCAAAACCTATTTAAAAAAGAATTTCAAAAGAGCTTAAGATTGACATACGAAAAAAGTTGAGATATAAAGATTTGTTTTTATTTATTAAAACGGATGTAAGGCTCGATATTTTTATATCTCAGGTCAAACTATAGCGTCGGGCCTCTAACAGTACATAGACAATTAGACAATTTTTTTGGAAATATTATTTAAAAAATATATTTTGAATTTTAGAGTGCTACATTTTGCTGTACACTAATTTTTACATAAAATGTTAATGCTATTAGTAGACACAAATTTATTTGAGATAAGCTCGTAAGTGATATTATGAATAAATGAACAAGCAGCATGACATAATTAAAATGGCCACAGCAAGTGTATCGAAACTGAACCTACCGCAATTAGTGGATATAACCGAACGACGTCTACGTGAGTACTGTGCGCGCATATAAACAAAATATTTTCATATTGTTAACAATTGAGCAACATGCAAATTGAAAGCCACACAACAACAACGACAACCACAATGACGACGACAATATATATGAAGAAGCAACAGCCGGCAACACTTTCACTCTCTTCGACTCATTCGAAACACACTCAGTTAACACTCATTCGCCAAACAATGACGGCACACAAATACGAAGCGCTCTCTTGGCTTAAATAAATAAGAGAGTCTTGGCCAAGTGGATTGGCCAACATGGAGTTCAATATGCCATTGATCCGAGACAATTAAGTTGGCCAAACAAAAAAGAAGAAATAATAAAATATCATTAACCAAATGCAATTTGCCTTTATTTGCAACCGGTTATGAAATGTTGGCCGTCTACTGATTGGAATTTTATTAATTACCACGTTGCGTACCACATAACAAAAAAAATCGTTATAGCACATAAAACAAATGCAATTAAATTAAATTTTAAAAAAATATTAATAAACATTGCAACAACGAAAAGCCAATTTGAATGGTTGCAAACGCGGGCATTATTAATATACACTAGTCAGCTCCAAGTCCAGACCCTGGCCGAGGCTTCTATAGAGTGCGTTTGGTATTTAATTTGTGCATTTGTATGCAAATGGTATTACCAATTACGCACGGCGAGGGCTAAAGCAATTAGGCTTAAAGGCAAAAGCAAACTCTCTGCGCCCAATATCATTTATGGACTTCACAAATCACCTGCCATTGAGTGGGGGAAAGAAAAGGTTTTTGTTTGTTTTTCGAGGGCGGTTCCGCAAGGGCAATCCCAAAATAGAGCAAAAGAAAAGGCACTTGTCATAATAAATATATGTACATATATATCCAATACTCGACACTAATTGTCTGCATTTCTCAAGTGCTACGCGACCCAAATTCGCTTCAACAAAACTGATCTTTTTCAACCGAAACATTTATAATAATTCAACGCGTGCCTTGCAAATTATTGCCCAACAGTTCACCCAGTTTTTTATATGGATCAAAAGTCAATGTCATATATTGATGTATTTATGTTATGCGTTTTGAATATATATTTGAATGGATCAAAAGTTAAAATCGCAAATATATACATCTATTCAGATTATGCGCTTTGAATGGAAGTATACATATTTTTGCAACATTTTTAATTTCAAGTTCAGTTGGGATCTCATATGCAATACATATTACCTTATAATATTTGATCAATAATGCTTCTATTTTATAGTTTTGACCATCAGGGCCATAAAAAATACATATATTTGTTGATTCACTTTGCGATTCGTACCTATTCCTCTTAAGCTGTGGCTCGTAAGCCTGATTTTCCATAATAAAAAAACCAAGATTTTAACTAGGTGCTTTACGGAATTAGTTTATCGATTTCGCCTCGAAATATTTCGAAATATCGATTAATATCGATTTTGAGATAACTCGATAAGTATAAAAGCTAGATACCCCAAACCTTGTAGGAAAGTTCTTGTAAAGTCTACACAGATTATAAATATTTCACTTTTTCAATACCTTCACCAACTTCCCCCAAAAACAAGGAAACTCTCATTTTTAAGGGTAGATCCTTGCGCTTCGGTATATGCACAGTGTTCTATACCCTATTCAAGTTTTCAGAATTGTATAAAGATGGCACTTTAAGATCCTAAATAAACCAGGAATAAATTTCCCATACAGAAGCAGTCTTTAAATGCTTGTATATCCTAGTCGCACGCACCCGACTAGACCACCCAAACTAATTTCTTTTTTATTTGCAACTGCTGTGGCTTAAGATTCGTTTCATAATAAAAAAAAAAAGTTAGTTTATAGGCTTAAACCAGTTTGGTTCACAGCTGGCTGAAGATTTCTTACGCAATTCAAGTTTGGCTTTGATATAAGAGATATGTAAATAATATTTGCCCGTAGATAACTGATGACAACTCAAAAGGAAATAAAGACATTTAACTAATAATACGTTCTGTTTGATTCTGTCTATATAATTAACGTATTCATTGATTTAGCATTTAGGCAAATGAAGCCATTCAGATCAGGTCTAATCAAATTGCTTGATGGTCCATGAAACAGTTGTAAAGCGCTCGGCAGGCGCCCGGGCGTGGCAGACAAAGCCCACGCCACGCCCCGCCCGCCTAATATGTGGCAATTGCGTCAAAATTCGCTCAGCTGTGACCACAGCAAGTGCTCAAAAACTCGTCTTGTGAATGCTATTATGAGTATGATGTGAACTGCATAATAAATTTTTGGCAGCTGTGCATGTGTGTGCGAGTGTGTGTGTGTGCCAGTTGACAAATGAATGCATGGCTGCAACAGGCTAATGGCTGCCACATGCCACATGCCGCATGCAACGCTGCCTGCAATGATGCAACGCGACTGACTTTTTGGCAATTGAATTCAGTGAAAAGCCAAATTATGTTTTAACTAATGGCTGATGATTACATAAGCTGCCACTTAATGCTCTCCCCTACCCTGTTGCAGCTACTTTGCCTGTGCCTGTTGCTGCCACTGCTCAGCCACGCCTATCCGGCTGCTAGCGGCACAGCGGCTGACAAATCGCTATCACTGGAGGACACAGATCTGGACAATGAGCAGGGCGAGAGCGTAAAGGAATCACAGATAGCCAAACGGTCCGGCAGCTTTGACTATGTGGCGCATCTGAAGTCCGGCCTGTTGAGCAGCATAGGACAGGCATCCGCCTCGATTGCCTCGGGCAGCTCCGGCGGCAGCAGCGGCGGCGATAGCTACAAATCCCACGAGGTTGTCGTGCACGTAAGTTGGCCACGGCTCCAGATTGATTCGGCAGTTACTTAAGCATTTAATTGCAGGGTAACTCGGTGGACTATGATCCTTGGTCGTTCAAGAAATCCGTGCTGAACACCATCTTCCAGGCAGTCAAGGCCATCACGGGCGGCGTCACTGCACTCAAAGGTCAACTGATCAAGGGCAGCGGCTATGCGTTGAGCGCTAGCGGCAATCTGGTGGCCGCTTCCGGCGACAAGGTCACCGATGTGGGCAAATCCATCATCAATTCGGCACACATCAATTCACAGACCTATGCCACAAGCCACGCCGGCGGCGGCGGCTATGTACATCCATTTGCCAAGCTGAGCTCCTTGTCGGGCGCCTCATCCAGTGGCAGCAGCGGCAGCAAGCATGCTTCCTCGGCGCCGGGACCCGTGCTCCATTCAGAGAGTGAGTATGCCCGCCAGCTGCTGCAAAACATCAATTTTCTTGTCTTCTGACCCCCTCCCCACAATTCGAGCGGACCGTGAAATGTAAACTAAGGTCATTATGTAACTCGCTAACGCATACGCATTTATTGTCCATCGGCTGTTGAACTATATATATATATATATGTACGTCTATATTATAATTAAATCGCTCGCAACATAACATTGAAAGGTTTAACAAGCTGCTCGAAGAGGAAGAGGCGACTCCCAATGCTGCCCACTGCCAACTGCCAACAGCCAACTAGTTGGCCATAGCAATTGCAAATGGTACCGTGCGTTGACCCCTGCAGCATTTTTCCACTTTCATTTTCTCTGGCGGCACGGCCTATGCCCGGTTTTTGGCCGTGTCTCGCATGCTTTAGCCTATTTCGGTTTGTTTTGACTTTGCCACATGCCTGCTCACTAACACACACACAAACACACACAACTACACACACACACTTTTGTATCTTGTTGCAGCCATCACCACATATGAGATACCGACGGGACATGCCAACTACGGGCCTCCATCGAAGCCGCCAACATTTAGCAGCGCCACACATCAATATCTGCCACCGGCTGGCTCCAACTATGGCGGCGGCGGCAGCGGCGGTGCGCCATTCAGCATTGGCCATGCGGCATTCGAGGCGCCCCAGAGCAACTATCTGCCCTCCGCCTATGGACAAGATGGTGCGTAGTCTGCAAATCAATCTAACCCAATCGAACTGTATATACCTCATCCCCTATGTAAATATTTCGTATCCTCTCACTCATCGCCCATAAGCGAAAAGTTCACCCCACAGTCGCTCACAATCATTTTAATACCAATAACAATGACAAGGCGTTGTCCAGTCATTCGCTAAACATCAACCACTGTTGTTAACCACCGCACCACCAGCGCCACCGGCAGCTGGCTCTAACGAGGTCTCACTTCCGTGCATACCCAAACAGATAAAAAGTGAAAGCATCAAGTGCTCATAATTTGTCTGACACAACTGTAAATACACAACTTAACAACCCAACGTAGATTTAAAAAAACAGCTTCCCCAATACTCTACACTGGAAAAAATTAAAGAATTCGCATTAGTTTGACAGTCTCTTGATACTTAAATTTTTGCAATATCAAAATTTTAAACTTGATTGTTTTTTTTGGCTTGATTCATGTAAAAAATTAAGTTTAGTTTAATTTGTAAATTGATTTACATTATATCAATACTCTACACTAGACAAAAAAATCATACATCTCGCATTTAAATTCGCAATCACAGTTTCTTAAGCTTTAAACTCTCTTACTTTTTACTCATTATACTAGAAATATCCCATAATCCGAGGCTTATATTTTGAAATTCTGAAGTTTAGCACTTTTAAGCGTAGCACAGCTCAATTTAAGCTGAAAATTGCTCAGCTTGTCAGATTGTCTTTAAAGAAAAGTAGTTAAAATTGAAGTGCCACAAATCCCTTCACATATTTTGTGTAGTGAAATTAATCGTATTTAATTTTATTTCTTGAAAATAATTAATAAATTGGGTTGCTTTTTATTGGACTCCTTTTGAATTGCTTGCACTGAATATATTTTTAGTTAAATTTGTGCTCCAAACATAGATCTGTAAACACTCATATTCTAAATCTCTGCACCGAAAAAAGTTACATAGACTCGTACTTAAGTTAAGCAGAAAATACTTGATAAAAGTACGTTATTTTTTTAAATTCTGAAATTATTTATTCTAACCATTTTCTTACCTAATGAATATTGCTTAGCTTTGGGACAATTAAGAATTGATTTTGTGATATCAAACTACTTTCAGATTGTTTATGTTGAAATAGATCTGACATAATTTGATTTCAATTACTGAACCTTTTTAATTCCATATAAAGAATACTGTTGAAGAATACTGATATTCAGGTTCTAAGTCAGTATTCGTACCTGATTCAAGCACAGTGTATCTAAATCTATCGTGCAGCACTCTTTAACCCGTATGCCAAGCAGCGTGTTTACTTCGATGACACACTTGTGTTTGGCTTTAACTTTCAGTTTCAATCGCGGCTTACACAAATTAAATGGCATTGCGCAAGCGGCCAAAAAGTAGCGTTTATTGTTTTTTATGTACATAAAAATAATAATAAGTAAGCGTTAGTAACAATCATTTCTACTTCAATATATCATTTATTACTTTTGTACATATTTTATTATTTATATGTGTGTGTATATAGCCCAACCTTAGCACTCATGACATTCCAAGCGTCATTAAAAGCGACAACATGTCGCATACTTAATGTTATGTGTATATATTTAGCTATAAAACGGCTAAAAACCAATAATATGGTCTAGCCTAAGCCCTGAAAAAAACAACTATCAAAAATAATAATTATATATTTATTTGCATTTTATAGATATATTAATTCATGTATCAATTTTAAGTACTAGCATATTGTTATTCAACTTAATCGAAACGTTCAACTAAAACCAAAATATACAAAAAAAAAGGCACGAGAGAGTAATTGCTTTCGGTATACCGAAAATTAAATATCCTTGCAGACGGCTCAAAATTGTAATATATACTAACAGCAAATATTCAAAAAATATTGACCGATCTTTCGATAGAAGCTTAAAGATATAATGGTCCGTAGTTAAAGAGTGTTTTCTTGTGGGTAAAGAGCCTGACAAAAAAGCAACTCTTGCCTAGAGCAAAATTAGGAAAAGTTATTCTTTGCACTAGAAAACCACGTGTATGAATAACTTATTAATCAATATTAATAAACATATTGTATATAGTTTTAAATTCAGAGAAACCGGTTTTTCGTTTTTGAGTTCTTCATCTACCGAGGACTGCTAAACTGTTATAATTTATAGTTAAACTGATTATAGTTGTAAACTATTAAAAAAAACGTTAAAATAGCACTGGCTACGAAGTCCTTCGCTAAAGTTTTGTGTATAGACATCTAGCTTGTGATTCGAGCCAGCGGCTTTTTTTGCCTATATGAATCAAATATAAAGCTTGCTGCAAGGGCATAGAAACTTATCATAATAACTAAAACTTAAATAAAACATGAACATCTGTACAAAACTCTATCGAAGCCCAAAACTCATCTCATACACACACACGCACACACACACAAACTCACACTCACAAAAAAGCCAGTCAAATGCCAACAAAATGTAAATAGAAACTTTAACGATCCAAATCAAATATTTAATTGGTAAATCTAATAAAATCTCACTCATTGCATACACAACAACCACAACAACAACAACAACAACAAAAACCACAACAAACACACACAAATAAACACGTACACCACCGACACCACCGTTCAAACCAAACCACGGACGCAGTGCCAACCGCCGGAACCGACGACTTCAACGTCTATGGACGCAACAAGAAACTTTCGGATGAGGAGGCGCGCAGGGCGGCACTGCAGCTGCAGGAGATTTTGAGCATGCTGCCGAATGGCAAAACGGAATATACCGCATCCAAGACAGTGGCGCTGGATACGAATCAAGTGGCCAGTGGGTCCCATGTGGAGCTGGCCGATCTGTACAACAGCTACGGTGTTCCATTGCCCAACAATCTGGGCACACTGGAATCCCTGTCGCACACGGAATCCATCACAGCGGCATATACGCCACCTAGCCAGGGAGCCGCCGATATCTATCATCAGATGGCCAAACGGCCGCAAACAGCGGAGGAGGCATACATACAGAAGCATCCCAACGAGGGCTACGATTACCCACCACAGCCGCCAGCGGCACCGCCGGTCGCGTCCAACAACGAGTACAAAGTGGAGAACTATCATGCGAGCAAGAGCAATGCGCTCAGAGATTTGTCGCCCATAATAGCCGCCCTGGAGGTGGCCAAGCGCAAGGGACCCAGCAGCAGTGGATCCACCAGCTACTCCATTGAAAAGCAGGTGCACAAGGTGTCGCCATTCCAGTATCTGCCGCCAGTGGTGCAGAAATCCAAATATGTCTACAGTGCACCGCCAGCACCACCCAGGCCCAGTTACAGCGGCGGCTATAAGGTGCGACGTCATGTGGCAGCCAAGCGACCACTGGGCGCCACATCCATGTCCCGGGTGCAGGACTACGACATACAGGATCCGCTAATGTTCAATCGCCTGCTGGAGTCGTAGGCAGCGCTGGACTGGCTCAACACTAGTTAAATAGTCCACTAAGTCATATGCAGCATTTAACTATAGTTCATCCTAACCTTATTTATTTATGTTATCTAAAATTTCCAAAAGCTCCAGCGTAGTCAATTTATATATATTTACATATATTTATGGAACTCGAAGCTCGAGCAGCAATAAACGAGTTTGAAAACCAATGCACACGGCATGCATCTATAGCACCACAGCTCTTGTTCACTCTGTTTGCACTGCTTTTATGTATATCCCAACACTGCACCACCACGCCCATTTTCCAACATCCCCAACACCAACAACCACCTGGCAACCGGCTGTCACAGCTTTCTACTCAATCAAAACACATCTGACCTGACGCTCTCTTTACAGTGTATCTGCAGTAGTCGTTACGTGGAACCAGCTCTTCCAGCCCTCAACCTGCCCAAGGGCGTTAACTGTGGACCACGCCCATTCTGTTAACAACCACTTTCGATTCTATAGATTTAGCAAAACGCCTTTCTACACACTTCATCTTTAGCTTAGACGATTCTCAACTCCTACACACAAAAACAAACTATTGGCTGCGAACTAATATCGAAATTTTCTATCTTACTGTTAAGTATTTAAAGTTATTATAATAAATATTAATATTACAAATAAATAATCGTTGAACAACACTATAAAAAAATTTGTTAAAATTTTATGTAACGCCTAAAAGTATGCTATGCAAGTTTCAATTGTCTGTAGAGAGAGACTGCCGTCTCTTTGAGAAGCTTCCGATAATATTTAAATAATATATGCCAAATACATTTCTCTATATTTTCCATTCTCCATTTATTCTAGGCATATTCTACGTTTCATTTTTGTATGCATGTTGAAGATTTTCGTAACATTTTCATTCTTCCTAAAAGTATACCAATTTTTATCATAAGTAAAACTACCAAAAAAAAAAACTTTAAATCTTAAGGTAACTTTCTGACTCTACATAAATATATTTCAAGCCTTAAAACTGTCCCTTTTCAATTTCTTAACGAATAAACGTATACAAATTATAACAATTGAAAATAGGAAGTACTTGCATTTTTCAATATATAAAATTTAAGAAAACAAAATACTTTGATCCCTTACCTCATTTGCCTTTTATATAGCAAAAGGCTTTTATTCAACTTGAGGTTAAAACTTAACCTGTCGTTATATAAAAAAATGAGAGATTTCACCCAAAATTAGGACAAAAACTTGTTTGATTTTTTATTAAGTAGAAAACGAATGGAATATACATATAGATTAAAGATTCTAGAACCTAGAAGCAAGAAATCACTGGCGAATAGTTGGAACAGAAATGTAAAAAGAGCTTGGGTAGGGGAAGGAGGGGAACTATACGATTATCGTTGTATATGCACCTGACTCAAAGGAGCGGCCAATGCGCCGCCTAACTACCCAATACCAGTTCTTCAGTTCACTTCTAGTAATAGCCAAAGGTAATGTCATGCAGCGGCTGAGCATTGCCCTGGGGCAGGGCATAATCGCGCGCCAGTTGATCCAGAAGGCTGCCCCCGCCGCCACCTCCAATGCGACCCTGGGCCTGCGGCTGGTAGCTGCGCTGTGGCTGTTGCTGTGGCTGCTGCACAGGCTGTGCACCGGCACCCTGGCTGGGTCCGAAGTGCACGGGCTCTAGGAGCGGACGACCACCCGAGGCGGGTGCCAGGAAGCCCTGGGCGCGTGCGCTGCTGGGCGCCGGCGAGGCGGGAGGCAGCGCATAGACAGGCCGGGAAATGCGCACATTGGAGGGGCCTTCGCCGAAGCTCTGCGACTGCGTGTAATCAGGCTCGGGGCGGGCGGGACGCTGTAACGGCGAGTAGAGCACATCAGTGGTGCGCTGAGCGCCAGGCACTTGGAGACGGGGGGGTGCTGGACCCACCGACGGCTGTGGTTGGGGTGCGTATTGCACACGACGCTGCGGCTCCGCTTCCTCCTCCTCATACTGCACATACTGTGGCTGTGGCTGTGGCTGCGGCTGTGGACGTGGGGGCTGTGGGCGTGGCTGATGCTGCTGCTGTTGCTGCGGACGTTGCACGCGCTGTGGGGCAAGCAGACCTTAAAGTCAAGTGAATCGAGCAGATTTACTAAACTTACATAGGGGCGCTGGGGTCGTTGGACAGGCTCGTCCTCGTAGTCGGGCTCTTCCTTTGTGGACTCATCGACCAGCGTGGGTGGTGCTACGGTGATGCCCTCGCCCGAGGGCTGGAAGCCATACTTGTTGGCGCCATACTCAACGACGCGCACCTTGCCATCGGCATCAACATAACCATACTTGCCCTTCACTTCGCCCGTGGCCAGCTTCGTTTCGATCTTAAAGGAACCATCGGCGCCCTCATAGCCGTACGTATAGGAGCCATCCTCATTGTGCCTGGAAAAAAAAGAGATTTCATATAAACAATTGTTAACAGTTTTTAACTAAAAAGGCAACAAGGAAAGTGATCACTTACAGCCCAAGGGTTAAGTATTGCACAAAAACACTTACAAGCTTGATTATCAATCAATCAGTCAGCTAATAATTCAGTCATATAGTCAATCCAACAAGCAGGCAGTTCTTAAGTTATGTGGTCCACTAGCCAGCCCTTCAGTCAGTCAGTCAGTCAATCACTCAGTCAGTCAGCCAGCCAGTCAATTAGTACGTCAGTCCACCAGTCACACAGTCATTTGATTAATCAGTCAACCAGTCAATCCATCATTCAGTCAGTTAGCATATACTATCGGCCATTCAGTCAGTCCAGTCAATCATTCAATCAGTCAACACATATAGTTGTATATATTTCAAATAGAAAAGCTCACTTGTTGATCTGCTTGAGTATGGGCACAGGCGTGGGACGCGTCTCCTCCTGTGCGCTGGAATGCAGTCTATGAGGCGCCGCTCGTGGTGCACTCGGCTGGTAATCCTGATAGTCCTGAGCGCTGACTAGGCTGCCAAGCAGACAGCCGATTAACAGTAAACTTTGTAGCTGGAAATTGAGGAGAACGTGAGATTATCGCACTCAAATGGCAACCGGTTTGCTAATTGCCAGACAAAGCAGCTGCCACTATGAGTAGCCCGTACACCTTGACAGTGCACAGAATATGCCACGGTTTGAGGTCTACAAAAGTCTTGAGTCAGGCTACCTTTCACTTTTTATAATATATATAAATATATTTTTTTTTGCCCACTGGCCAATGACACCGGCTGCGGTATCGAGACGCTTGTCATTGTGACTGGGACGCCCTCAATGCCAAGCAGGAACCGATGGCGACAAATAGATACGACTACGTGGCATAAGGTATGCCGCAAGCCAAAAGCCCAAGCGACACGCGATATGCCGACGTATGGCCACAGCCAATGGGCAAAAGTTTAATTGAATATCCACAGGTGAAATGCATGGAAAAGTTTTTTCTGTAATTTTTCATTTTTCCCAGTTGCAACTCCCACGCGTTGTTGTTGCTATTTGGTTAAATAATTCGAGTGCACACAAATTATGCCCAACTGCGGGAATTCCACTCGATGCAGCGAGTAGAAGATGCAAAAGGAAAATTTCCCACACACATGCCAATCGGTGATATGTTGCACAAGTATCTGAAAGATGCATCTCAAGCATGCAAATGCTAAAGAAATTACAAAAGCCGCAGGCAGTGGGAGGAAAGAGGGGGGCCAAGTGAAGACTGTCAGTCTACAGCTTGACAAGCGTACCAAACGCTTGACTACGAGGTTGTGTGATTCATATACCCTGTAAACATTTAATTGGTGTAACGAGTATGCACGAGTTGTGCTAGCTTATGCGAGAGACTAAGAAAAGTAACCTTTCCATTTGAGTTATCATGGATTGTACATTTTAAAAGGTTTAGGAAAAAGTATGTTTCAGGCTAAAAGGAGCATTTTTTGTAAGTTGTGCATCCCGTTTTTACTACATTATACTCTCAGGGTATACCAACAGCACAGCATAGCCAATATGCATAAAAATAAAGCATAGTGTTACATTTTAAATTCTCTGATCTAGCCAGTCAACCAAGGAGTTGGGGTCTTATATCCTGTCAAGCATAAATTTGAGGTATTGGTGTACCCCAAAGTAGCCGACATTCAACTGCTGTTGCTATACCCTGTAGCCATTAAAAATTATAAATGGGGTTGCTAAGACAAGACATTGGCTAGAAACAGCTTCTAGTCTGTAACTAACTAACTTCAGCTATTATTATACCCTGTAGAAATGGAATTAAATTTTAGCTATACCCTGTTAATGTGAAATGAGTATAAAGGGTATTATGAAGATATAGATGAGAAATGTATTGAACAAAAAACAAAAGCAAGGTAACAGTTATTTATTTGTAGCTATGCAGTTAAGCTGTTGTTATACCCTTTAATTATAAATATGCTCTGAGGGTAATCAACAAATTTGGTTAATTTAATTAATTTATGAAGTCTAAGTCGTTTGTTTCTATATAAGCAAATTGTCATTTTAATGAGGTAATACCCTGCCCTGCCAAGGCATCTATATTAGCCGTAAAAATCGACATCAGAGTTTCATGCCAGGTAAGACTATATATTCATCAGTAGTAGCATAAGTTTATCTTAACAAATTATTTGTGTTCAGAGACTCTGTTGATTTATCTCATAAAAATATTGCAGTATGTTAAATAAGATCTACTATTTATACTCCACTACTTTCTAAGGTATATCAGATTGACTATTTCTTTGACGGTTGTTTGACAGATTTTGGCTGACAAGATTCGCACGGATTGCGGCTCTTGTACTGGCTAACCAAATTAGAGCAACAGACACACAAATTCGCCCAACTGTAGACGGATTCAATGGACGTTTGGTCTTTAACAAGACACCGTACAGACGTATGCTCCATTCCCATTCAAAGTCGACTACGCTTTTGTCTGGCAAACCTTTCACTGAAGCTCCATATGTCAGGCATATGCCATAGCCTTGGCTCACGGAGTTGTGAAGCTGTTGGACAATCTGCCGCTGGCATGGACATGGACGCTGGACCAAATTGCAGCGGCAGTAGCTGCAGAGCAGTAGCAGCTACTGTAGCCAATGTTTTCAGTTGATGCCAATTTTTCTGCAGTTTTTTTTCTTTTTTTTTTGTTGACAGCAACTGACCGTAAAAGCTGGCTGCGAATCGCAGCGTGTGAACTGCATTTGGAGTTGCCTTTGATATTTGCGCTCTGCGCAAGAGGGGCTTGTGAGAGGGCGGGTTTTGGAGATTGTTTTAGAAGCACGTTGGCATCGCAGTCTGAAGTGCGCTTGTTAGCGCTACTTTTTCTGAAATTGAAGTTCCTGCAACCATTTTTTTTTTCCAATAGAATTCAACGCAATTACGAGACACACGTCGACAGCTGGGGCTCTAGCTCATAAATTATGTGTTGGAATCGAAACGCTTGTCGAAACGAATCGACAAGAATGCACGAATAGTAAATACCCTAAGTAACCGAGAAGCCGAGTTGCAGTCACTGGCATTCAAAAACATTTCGTATAAGCAAAAGCATCCATACACACACGAGCTTTCCGTACACTTCACGCAGGGGTTTTTCTTCTGTTTCCCTTAGCTCAACTTTAGGGGAAACCAAACTGTCTTTATATTCCAATACGCAAGGATCTACTCTCATCTACCATAATGTAATGAGGAGGAATCGATATTTATCGATATTACAGGAACAGGAAGTATTAACAACAAAAAATATATAATTACACTTAAACTCTCTTTAGGTAGACAGAGAGATGGACTGATTAAAAGTCCATATACCTCAAGAGATCTCAAATGACTCCTTCTGCCTGTTACTTACTTATGCGCTAAACCAATATACCCTTTTGCATCTAATTTCCAATGGGTATAGAAAAGTACAACAAAATCCAGTTACCAAATTGGGTGCACAAAATCGAGCGATTGCTCGACTATCTGGTTAGAGAGCAAAATTAACGGTTTGACTCGATTTGCATAGCAAATTATGCGATATTTTCACACAGTACACGGCACTGTCTATAAGGCGTATGACGTAACCAGCCAGACAGGCATTACAACTAACTGCATTTGATTGGCCTGGCTTGCCACGCATTGTGGCTCAACTTTAACCTTTGCCAAGTGCAGCATGTAGTGGCTGTTACAGTGCCCATTGTCAGTATTTGCACAACATTCTCTGGAACCTACCACTTTCATTTCAGCTGGCGTTTTGCTTTGTTCACAGCTATTTCGTAGCGTTTAAACGGATTTAATTGCAAAAGACCTTCGCTGGCAACAACCCAGCCCCAAAAAGCAGCAACAACAATGGCACCAAAAATCACTTTCAATTGATCTAATGAACCGGGACTTGAAACTGAAACTGAAGTTGTTGATTTTTTTATTTATTTTTTTTTATTATTAATCACGTTTAGCGGTGCGCCAACATTAACTTGAGACCGACAGCAACTGAGCCGCCCAAGTTGTTGTATTTCGCTTTATATACCGCGCTTCTGGCCAGAGGAAAACCTTTTCCATACCAATGGATCCAACACCAACAAACAAAACTTCACCAACGAGTCGGCGGCGCATGCGCAAAAGGACAGAGACCAACTATAATCGCAGCAACAACAACACATGCACACACTAGATACACACACAAACACTCACACACACCGCAGTGAGCAGAAGTGGCAGCTTGGGCAAGTTTGCCTCTTGTGTGGTTCTCTCTGTGCTTTTCAGTGAGCTTTTTCGCGCCACCGCAACCACCACAAAAACTGGAAAGGCCAAGAAGTGGTTGGCGCTGCAAAACTCATAGATTGAGATTAGATGTGTTTTATATCCAAATATTTAATCTCATCAATTTAAATTCTTGAATTAATTGAAATTACATGATGAATAAACTTATTTATAATGAGTAATAATATGTTTAAATCAAATATATGATTAGCCAAGCGGTTCTAGTTAGTTGAGAGAGTTTGATAAACTGACACAGACAATTCAAGCAGCTTGCCATGAAGGATCCGGTTCGAAGCACAGGGAGCAGTAAATTCATATAACTACTAGAGCCTGTAGCTCGAGCCCACAACGATCCAAATACTTCAATAAATAAATATATATATATATATAACTAACAGCCCCTTACCTTATCGCTAGAAAGCAGCCTCTACCCATTCACTTAGCCAACAATTTAATAAATTGCCTTCACAGCCAAAAGCAGTGCAGATACTTCTCCTAAAACTCGCACGCTATAAAACGACCGAAAATACATCAAACAAAGCTCATTGAGACACAATTAATCAAAAGTGCGAGCTCCATAAATGTGAAAAATTGCTTAAATCGACAGGCGGCACAGCTAATGAATGAGTGTGTGAATGAGGAATGAGCCGACAATATGGAATGAATTTAAAGTTAAGTTAACTCGAAAAAAGATTGGTATAAAAATAGCTCATGTTGGGCAATTGCAAATAACCAATTGTTGGCATGATTTGTAAACCAAAAAGCATATTCTTAAACTAAAAACAAAGAGATATTTGAAATAATAATAACAAAAAAAATTTATCTTAATATAATTTTGTCATATTCAAAAACAAAGAATTAAAAACAGATTCTCAAATAAAATACGCAAAAGTGTTCACAATTGTGAACTTGAAAAATTGCTTTATTTTTAAAGTAAAAGAACATGAAGTTAAATTTTAAGGAATAGTGAACCGTAGGAAAAATATCTACACTTTGGACTATATTAAAAATCTTAAATAAGTTTTTGAACCCAGACAACTTCCACATCCAATCTGTTTCCTAAAACAAAGTTTAATCTCAGGTATTCTATCTTTAGGATAAAATATATGTTCTCAAAACTCGTTGAACGTAAATCTAAATCTTCAAACCAAAGAAAATCTAAAAATATTTTTTTTATATTAAATGTTCACATTTTACACATATTTAGGAAAACACTTAATAACTAAATAAAATTAAAGTTTAATTAGCAAAACTGTTTGCTATTGAAAACAGTTCTTATATATTCACCTGGATTTCAAAGATCTCCAAAGGTATTATTGTCTGTGATATCTGGCTTAGTTCTCTATTCTTATCAAATATAAATAGCAGCAGATTGCCTCATCAAGTGGTCACAAATTGATTGTCCATTTGCCTCCGGCTGCCTGGCAACTGTGCGTATGCGTAATTCCAACATTTCCGTTGATTTGTGTTGTCGTTTTGTGCTGCATGTAAATGAACAAAGTGAGGGGGATAGGAACGTCATGTGGTCGCGGCAAGGGCATGTTATTTGCACTGGCAGACCAAATAGCTTACAGAATTGAAAGCTGCTCCAGTGCACACACACGCACACACACAGAGTGGACATGGCCTTGCCGTTGCGTTGGAATTACTTGTAATGACAGAGCGAGTCACCGTTATTGTTGCAGCTACAAGATACAAATGTGTGCCTGCTTGTATCTGTGGGATACAGATATATGCCTTGGGTTAGTTAAACTTGTTGGCGGAATTGCAATGCCCAGCGCACTAGGAAACGAAACCAAAACCAAAAAAAAAAAAAAATAAACAAAAAACAACAACTCTTGAGTCTGACCCATGACGCAGTTGCTGCGTCAATTGTTCTGACACTATGCGTATTGAGTGCGGCTTCAGGTCTAGACTGGTTTTTACATATAGACCAGGTAATACCATGAGTGGAACAGGGATAGAGCTAGGTAGTTTTAAGCTGCGTGTGCACCTGAACTTGGGCGCATATCTACGCACAGTGAAGGTCATAAATTGCGATTAAATTCCTTAAAATATCTGCGTATGCTATAACGGACTACGGAATCAATTACAGCTCTTTGTATGTAATCGAAAACACAAAACATTGTCTGTTATTTCAAAATGAAAATAATTGAAAAGGTAAAGATATCGTTTAATTATTGCAATTAAGCTTGAATTGGCTATAATAGATTCTATATGTGGCTAAAAATATATTTTTAAAATATTTGAAGCGCCTTTCCATGTAAGGTCTCTCAGTAATTTACAGAATCCATATATAAAGTTTATATGTAACAAAATATTAACTTCTCTACTCAGTTTGTTTACCATTGACTTTTAAACACTTGAAACGAAACACATTTCAGTTCTCTAACGAGATTTACAGGCGCCTAAATTTGCATTTAAAGCCTGTCAGCTATTAATCTGAAATAGTTTTTTGTTTTCTCAATTCCAGCTTAACTATTTTTAAAGTTTTCCAGTGATCAAATATTTGAAGAGAAAAATAAAATAAAAATGAATTTATTTTGATGTAAAACCTTTTTGAATGCATTTATTTATTTCGATATTTGTGCGCTTTTCCTTAGAGTTGAACTTGTAAATTTTATAAAACCGTATTATGCCTGTTCGCCTCGCACTTATGATTCCAAACAGCAGCTGCTGTGCACTGTCGAGAATCAGTAAAAATAAAAAAAGAAAAAGAAATAAAAATACCATACAATGTTGTGCAGGAAATTCTTGAGGCATGCCAACGCCCTGGCAGCGCCCAGACAAGTTTCACTTTCATGGCAGCAGCTACAGCAATATTTGCTCTACAAAATTATATAAACGCTGGCAAAAATAATTCCATTGCCATAAAGTGTGTGTGTGTGTGTGTTTTTGTGTGTGTAGCGTATGGCGGTTGGTGTGTATTTTTAATAGGTGCAGTCAACTAGCATTTGATTCTTCGTGCTGCTGCCTACAAAAACTTCCAAGTCGCACAGTGGAGTGAAATGACAAAGACCAAACCATAATATAATTAGAAATTTCAATAATTACAAACTATAAAGTTCGTCTATCTTCGGCATGCCGAAGCTTAATTTCCCTCTTAGACACATAACTTATGGCATTGCAGATATGCCAGGTTAATCATAAAGCTCGTAATTGCATAAACCTCAAAAACTATATGATATGGTAATCTGAAATTGATAAGATTTAGTTAATAAAAAAAGAAGCGTATCTGAATTTAATTTTATCCTATTAGTTCTACGCCAGCTATAACATAGTCTCCGAATGTTGACTAGATTGCGCCAAAATGCTAAGAGGATAGTGAAACTAATAAATACCCTGTTTTATCAAGGTATCTTCAAAAAAGAAAATGCTTTTAACACTAGAACTCAACTTTCGAACTTGCCATGGGTGTTATATAATATAGCGGTGGAATGCTGGAAGGTTTATATACTTTTATAAAAGGTAGCATAAGGAGGCTCTTAAATTATAATTGTAGATAAGGTATTATGAATAACAATAGAGGTCTGAATATAATAACTCCGATTTTAGCCGATTTTTTCTTTGCGAGCTCAATGATATAGTAGTCTGATTTGAATAGAACTTAACACGAAATTAAAGCTTTTACTTAAACAACTTTATTTGAAAAACTTAAAAGCCGCATACAAAAGCTCCTAAATTAATCTGGAAATAGTTTTGATAGTGTCTATGGCAGCTATATGATATAGTATTCCGATCCACTCAACTTCAAAATAAATAACCTGCTGGGCAAAACACGCTTTATCAAACCAGCTTAAAACTAAGATATACGTTAAGTAATGCCCGATAATAATGCTGATCTGAAATATATAGTTTTTGGTCTTTAAATATACGTTAATTTTGATTTTTCCAATTAGTAAGGTATACCAATTTTTTATTAAATTTTTGCTCAATTACCCACTGTTAACCAAATCACTTTTAGGCACAAACATTTTTTCATAAGATTCTTGCCTTGTGCCCACAGTGCGAATCAGGCCCCTAACAACCGCATGACACCAGCAAACGCCCCTGCACAATATGCTCGTAGACCCAAACATGCCCAGTTGGAGCTGATGGTTGGTGCTGCTGTTGTCCAGTGCCCCACAGACTAACTGGTTGCTGTTGTTGGCCGCTGTCTGTCTGTCTGTGGCTCTGGCGGTGCATTTGAAAGTGGTTTTGGGCCATTGCATAAGTGCACCAAATTCCAGCAACAACAAACAAACGGCCAGCCACAAGCATTACCAACAACAATAACAACAAGCAGACCTGGTTTCTAATGGTATCTAAATCGGTAACATTTTTTTTCTATATCATTCTTTGGGCCCGTCCGCTTTTTATAAGCGAACTGCGCCAAGTGTTGACGTAATGTGCGCGATTATTGCTGGATATTTCATTTGGGCTCTGATTGGGGCCGGCTCCAATTGAAGCGGAACCCAAAAATTGGTGCATTTTGCTGTGAATAAACAAAGAGTCCGGTGGTAATTTTATAGAACTCATCGTGGGTTATTCGGCAGTTTATTACGCTTTATATATACATACACACATACTCTTAATTACAGACATATAGATATATATATATATATAGATTGTTATCGGGAGTGACTGATTTATTTGGCAGTAACAAAATTGACATTGTCCACGGACATCAGTCGCTATCTCTCTTGGGAGGGGGCGAAAGGCCTGCCATCCAACACAATATTGACCAGGGTCCAACGTCTACTTTCTGCCCGTATAGTCGATGCTGTAGGAGCCCGTATAGATGTTCAGATTGCGCAGCGCCGGATGATGTTGCTCCGGCAGGCCAGAATATGGCTGCTGCTGCTGCTGTTGTGGTGCATAGTAGGGCTGCGGTGCTGGCGGCTGATAGTAACGCGGCTGTGGTGCAGGAGGATTATAGTACTGCGGTGTGGGATTGTAATAGGGTCGTGCTGGTGCCGGAGCCGGAGCCGGAGCATATTGCGGCTGTTGCTGCTGCTGTCCGCGACCAAAATCGCTCAGGCTAAACTTGCTTGCCGCAATGGGGCGATTATACTTCTGATCCCTGTAGTAGACAGCTGGATCTTCACGGTACTGACCATCGTCTATTTCATTGGGTCCCAGCGGATAGGGATTGCTGTTCGTTAGTGTCGGCGGCGGCACATTAATGTGACTGCCAGCGGGCTCAAAGCCACGCTTACTCGCCCCGTACTCAATCTCGCGCACTTTGCCCTGATCATCCACATAGCCATATTTGCCATAGACCTCTCCATTCGGATACTTTGTTTCGATTTTGAAACTCTTGTCGGCAGCCTCGTAACCGTAAGTATATGAACCATCATCATTATGCTTGTCGATCTGCTTCAGTATGGGCACGGGCGTGGTATAATCCTGATGTTGCGCATACGCAATGTGCGCCAGCAGCAACAGCAAAAGGTAATCCTTAATGCGCTGGGAAAGATGAAATACTTGAGTTTGTATAGCAAAAATGTTGAATTTTTTTTATCAGGTAACACTAAGAACTTCGAGAACTTGAAAGACATGAGTATAACAAAAGTAACGATTTTGTATATGTAAATAAAATCAGCTCTAAAACTAATCAGAGCAATTATTAATATTTAGAAACATCTAGGGAACAAGTTTAAATAGATCATTTTAAATTTTTAGTTATTTTGAGCTTAAAACTTTGTAAAGATTAAAAATGTGAGTTTTATTTTAGCAAAGCGGCGTTTTTTGAGGCATGGAAACAAAGCGACATCAAAATGATAAAAGCAAGAGATTTATTTGAAGAATTTTTGAGATAATCAATTTGGAAAGATTCAAGAATGGATTATCGTTATGTCAAAAAAAAAATTTGCAATTAAAAATGGATTTTAAGTAGCTAAATCTATAAGCTTAATATTATGAGATTTGCTAACAAATTGGAGAGATCAAATGATCTTATCCTAAATGAAATAAATTGATTAGTTAAACTATTTGATGATTGAACTATAAACAATTTGGTGTGTTTGTTTGTGTAACTCTTAAATATGCCAATTTATTTTAATTTACGACGTAATTGCAAATAAATTGAAAGCGCGTATTTCCTTAATTATATTTGCAATAAGCTGGATTAAATCGATAAGCATTTATTATTTAATTAACTCCAGTGAACAGCATTCCGATGGCAGCTTTTCAAGGACGTCGTCGTTGGCAATAATATACAATATGTATATTTAAAAGAGCTGCAATTAAGGCCCAGCATTTTGTGATCTACATAAATCTCACACAAATTGTCAAACCGGTTGCGTATGCATTCTAAAGCTTGGCTTATTCTAAGTGCAGCATTTCACAAGTTCGTATTTCACACTTTGGTATTATTTATTGTCTTCTCTTGTCATTTGTTTTGCTCACCATTTTCAGCATTTTAGTTGGCTCAAATCGTTTTCACCAATCTCACGTCTTGCGTTAACTTCAAAATGCGACTCGAGACTCTGCGCAACGAAACGACAACTCAAAAGAAAATCAGGGCGTGCAACGCTTTTATACCACGAGTCCGCATATCGAACAAGTGAGTACAAAATAATACTAAAAATAAATAAATTTCAAGTAAAACTCTCGAGCCGAAGGCGGCCGAGAGTAAATTACATGGGACAGGTGGACACTTGCTGCGGGCGGACGCAGGGCGAGAGTTGTGCGATCAGCTGCACGTTATATACGAAGCTTGAGCCCGAACAGAATCGTGTGCTTTGGAATGCCGCATAGAAATCGAAAGCTATCGATTGCCCCCCTGCCCAGCGCCTTTAAAAGAACGCCCCAGCACCAATCAGGTTATTAAAGTCAAAACAAAATTCTCGACGCTAACAATTTACTGCCAGCCCGTGCACACGCATATGCAATAAGCTATCCTCGTATTGCATATGGAATGCAGGGTATTTAATACGGAAGTTTTCTCGATCAGCCAGCACTCACTCAGAAGTCAAACCATTTAAGTTATGTAAAGCATATGCGTGCACAGCTCGCTTCTTGGCCATTAAGAAAGCCACTTAAAAAGGCTTAAATATTCGCACTACTTTATGGCTCCAGTTTTCAGCTGTTGGCCATTTCTCTTGGTTTTTTTCGCAACTAAATGCTAAATGCAATAAAAAAAAAAACTTTTAGTCCACTGACCTAGTCAATACTTGGCAATAGCCACAAAAACAGGTTGCTAGCAGGGCACCAAAGAAATGCAAATAGTGTATATATAATAGTATACCCTCGACGCAGCATAGTCATGCAATAGGGTATCACTAAGTTGTGCTTATGTATGTTCAATATCTATAGTATAGTCTAGTCTTGTCTGACAATTTAAATCAAATTTGATTTTATATGGGTGTTTATATACCCTATAAATATTTATTTAGGGGATACCCTAAAGCTTCTTCCTCGAAGAGTGGCAATAGCTAAAAAAAAGGTAAGAAACTTAGTTTCTATATACTTTTCTAAAAGCTACATGTAAAATTTGTTGACTTTAGTTCTTAAAACCTAAGAGATTTGCTCAAAAAAACTTAGAGCAAAAAAAAATTAATCGATTACTTGGAAACGGAGCAAGCTATCGATTATCCTTAACAACAACTCTTGCTTCCTTCTGCCTGTTACATACATTTGCACAATTACATTAGACCTTTTCTACCCATTTTCGATGAGTTCAGGGTATAATATTTTGTTTTTAACGACATGTTGTATTTGTGAATAATGGCAATAAAGTATTTGCTGTATCGTAAATGTATCTTCCAGGTGATACATATAAATATTATGCAAACAAACAACTTTAGTTCTCTGTCAGGCAACAGTCTTTTCCATTTGCCAGATAAAATGACATCCCAATCCACAAAATAATAGCAAAAGTGAGCCGTACCTTCCCCAAGGAAGATAAAAAAACGATTATACGCTTCAGCAACAGCAAGAACAACAGGATTTTGGATAAATTGTTTCCCATCTGCTAAATGTGAGTCCAAAAACTGGGAGCTGCTTGTTAACAGATGCTACTACCGACCTGAGCATCAATGTATAATATAGGATACTTTCAAGTCGACTACAGCACTTAAAACGGTTTCTTTTTTGCTTAAATTGATTTTCTTTATGTGGCGTATACTTAATATGTGTGTCTCGTTTTGTGAGTTTGGTCTAATTGAAGTCTTTCTACATGCTAATGACTTATCTCACGTGTCATACAAATTGGCATAAGTGTTACGCAAAATCCTCGAACAAATACTTTGCTGGCAAGTAGCGAAATATTTTGGTAAAACGATCCTGGAGGACCGAATCGAAAGTTTCTGTCAGCACCGGACGCAGCACATCGAACAAAACGCGCCAATTCTCATTAAAGAGCTCGTTGGCACTTCGCTCCAGTTCCTGATTGCCTCCAAACAGATTCGTTAGATTCACCCGAATCTTGTCAATACGAACAATGTCCGTCTTAATGGCGGTAACATTCATAAAGGTCAGTCCCTCCGCCAGCTGTGGCTGCATTCTGAGCGCCACATAGAACTCCAAATTATCTATAAGATTTTATAACTTCAAAACAGTTGCTTGTTTTAATTGAAAAGTGAAAAACTTACCCAAATCGGCGCTCAAAATGCCAGCACTGTTGAGGTTCAGCAGCAACACATGTCCCTTCAGCTTGTAGTTGCTCGTGATGTTGATCTGTGTGAGGTGCACATGAAAGCCCAGGGTATACTGGCCAGAGTTGAGCAGCGTGCTGCAGATTTTTAATGCTTTTTAATATACTTTAAGTCACAATTAGCCACTGGCTGCTTACGTGCTGTTCAGTATCTTGGCTTGGCTTAGGCCAATCGTGCTCATATTGCGCAGCTCCACGCTCACATCCACATTTGGTGGCACACGCTGGGCAATACGCAATCTGCCCACCCGAAATGGATCCAAAGAGCCCACGCCGCGCAGCCCCGGCACGCCTGTAAATATACAAAAGTGCTCAGTGCTCTAAAAGTACAAACTAAATAAGGGAATTTCTCAACACGAAACACAAATCGAAAGCCCGCACGTTTATCAACGTAAAATTGACTGGACTACAATGTTCTTATATTTTTAACATTCTTTCACGTTCTCAGATTATTTTGTTTATAATTGGGAAATATTTCAAAGTTAATAACTCCTATCCAACCAAATGTGGTTAAAACTTACCATTACGCCAGTGTTGGAAAAGGCTCTCTATGTTGGCAGTCAAACAGTCGTTACTGAGGCTATCCTTTAACAGGCATGGCTTGATAAAGGCAGCTAAAAGCAGAAAATAAATCAGTTTAAAAACAAATAAGTTATAAGGCGAATACACACGTGGTTCCTGCAGAAACTGTTGCGCTTGCACCGCAGCAAGCCACAGTGGTGCGAGAAGGCTAAACCACAGAGCGACTGGCATGTGGAGATGCATTGCTACCGCTTCACTTGGCTGCTCACCGTGGACTGGTCATCAACAAAATAAAATAAACTATTCAAGCAAAGCATTCGGCAATGGCTGTAAAACTTTTTATTTGATCGGTTCGACTTCAGTTTATGCATATGTTGTAAGCAGGGCGAGAGTTTATCAACCCGTCAACCGCAGACCTTGATCTGTGTGGCATAGTAAATCATATGTGATGTTAATGAAACTAGCAACAAGTATGTGTACTCTAGTCGAGACAGTTCGACGCGGAGATACCCTGTTTCTATGCTCGAATTTTTGTTACATTATTATTATTTAAACATACTTTGTCACCCAAATCGCCAGCTCTCTCTTAAGCGGCGGATGTGCTTAAACAACTTACCGTATCCCCGCTCTATGAAAAACTCACTCTTGAATAACTTTTCCGATTTCTGTCCAATCTTTTCCGAATCTGTCATCCAATTGTGTATCAATATACTAAAGTTATGGGCTATACCTATAAAAGACGTTATTTCTATTTATATGGTCAGAAACTGGGGAACAGGTAAAGTGCAGTGCATTTAATCTATGTGTACTATACATATACATATTCTCCAATAAGATTTCTCTAGTCTTTAATCTATGCTTAATTTCAACTATTAAACAAAACTAGTCTTAAAATCAATATTAATGCGAATTTTCGAAAATATATAATATAAGGTACACAAACTCTAGCTTGTACACAAGCTGCTAGCTTTTATAGTCTCAGATGCTGACCTACCATATAGTATATATACGGAATGAGGCTATATATATGCTTTCTACTAAATATTACATACATTTGCACAACTACAACATACTCCTTTTTACAAATTTGGAATAGTTACAGGGTATAAAAATTAATAGATGTTCAATATCATAAGCGCATAAACCCTAAGAAACCATAATCTCTCTGCATGATTAGAACAAAATACATTTAATTGGTAGAATAGCATTGAATTTTAGTTAAGTTAATATTAATATTAGCTCACCAAACCAGTTTACTTTAAGCTAATGGACAGAAGCCAGACATAAGCAATGTTTAAGGGTCAAGGTCGCAAAGTAGCAGAGATGTAATTGCAACTTAACTGTCAAAAGATGTCAAGGGTAGCAGGCGCTCAGCTGCAAATTGGACAGAGAGCAGAGCGCGATTTCACAATGTTCATATTAAAAGGGCACCCTGTATATTTGGCACCAGTCTAATGGCACGAAAACTTGTTTACTGTTTATTCAATTAAACCAAAACTGTGAACTTGACAAAGAAAACAAATCAAATTAAATATATATAAAAGTATAAGTATATATTTATTTATATATACTTATATACATAGATATATATTGAGCTTTCTGGATTTCTGCATTTCATTTAGAATATAAAATATAATGACTTCTACGCCAAAAAGTCAGAACATTCGGCGCTTTCAAGCCAAGCTAACAGTTTTAATTGGATCTCAGCCTTATAATGAATAATATACAAATTTTGAATTTTTTGGGCCTTTTACTGGTACCCATGCTGGCAACTCATACCGTTGCCTCCAACTATCTGGCCGAGAAACGTAGGAACAACAAATATATTTAGTTTAATCATTTTTTATTCGAATATTGTTTGTTGATTTAGCCAATTTTTTGACACCCTGCGTCTTGGAGGATCCCAATTTTAACAAATGCCTGGCGGGCAATCTGCAAGGCATTTTCGTACAGTGGAAGGATGGTATACCCGGCACCAATACAGTGGGCTCCATTGACCCACTCTTTCTGAAGCGGGTCAAATTCACGCAGGATGCCAACAATGCGATTGCCATCAATGCGGACCTCCAGAATGTTAATGTGATAGGCAGCAGCCAGCTAACGATCAAGGAGGCCAAGTAAAGATATATTTCATCCATTTCTTTTCTATCTAAATTGATTCGTTAAAGAGTGAGCGGGTAGCTTTTTGAAAACTCCCCACTCACCCGTCAGCACAGTTGTTTAACCCCTTGCCCCTCATTTGCAGCTATAACTACTTGCAAATTGTAATTGACGCGTAAAAAAATGACCTGACAAAAAATAACTAAACCAAAGTCCACTTTCTGTTATAAAACCAGTTTGTCATCAACTTATTGTTTATATATTTTTCAGTTACAGTCCATCCAAATATGTAGCCAAAGCTCTGATATTTGTGCCCAAATTGCGATTCGAATTCGACTATAAGGTCAAGGGTCACGTGCTGGCCCTAAACCTAAATGGTCAGGGCAAAGGATACTTTGAGTCTGGTAAGCAAAGTATACCAAAAAGTGCTCTAACCCCATTTGTATACAATTGCAGAGAACGCTGTCGTCGGCCTTGAAATGGCAGTCAAAGCGCGCAACGCACCCGAAGGCACTTTTGCGGATGTGCAGCGTGCAAAAGTCTTTTTCCGGGAAATCGGCAACTTTCACATTAAGCTAAAAAATCTGTTTGGCGATAATGCGGAGCTGGATCGTACAGCCCATACGCTTTTCAATGAGAACTGGCGTCAGTTCTACGATGTACTCCGACCGGCCATTGAACAGACCTTTGAGACGGTGTTGCTGGATCGTACCAAAAAGATATTTGCCTATGTGCCGGCCACTTACTTTATCCACAACTTTCACTGATTGTCCAATGCGAATTTGCTTTAACTAAATGAAAACGTTTGTGAATAAATATACCCCAAAAATTAAAGATTTTCTTAAGCATATGGAAATTTCGGGGATAAAATCTATAAACACGTTTAAATGATTTATTTTGCATTTACATGATGTTACGCAACAACTTTATCAAGGATTTTCAAAATCCTAATTTGCAAATCAGAAATTATAAAAACGTAACGGCAACTTTCAATGAATAAATATAGTGGTTTCTCCTATATAGTATATATATATAGCTGCTCGTATTAAACGCTTAGACGAACCTTGTTGTCGCTAATTTCTAAGTAGATCTCTATTAGACATAAAACCGCTTGACATTAACATTTTGCTGTTTAATTGCGCGCTCAAAGCTCAGCGACGAGAACGTTCCGAGTCTACTCGGTTCGCCTCATATAAGGTCTGGTCCCAGATTGAATATAATCGAGTAGCCGCCAGTTGGATTAGCGCTTAGATACTCACCTGCTGTCAGCATGAAAGGCACGCTTGCATTCTGCTGCGGCTTGCTGGCCGTTTGTTTTTTAAATGGAGTCGTCGCCGTAGAATACTTCACGGAGAAGCGTAAGTTTGGCCATGGATAAAATTCGAGTGTGCCCAATTCAGCTGACATTATGTGTCAATTATAGCATCGTTTTTGCCATCATGTCGCATCTATGAGCCGGGCTTTACCAATTGCTCCACGCACAGCGTACAGAAGCTATTGGATCAGCTGACCATTGGCATACCGGAGATAGTGGCCAGCATCGGGACATACGATCCCATGCATGTGAGGGATATTCATTTCAAACAGGATAACAACGAAGTGGCCACCATAAAAGCCAATCTGACCGAGGTGATCGTTAAGGGTTTTGGCAGCGCCAAGATCAAAGAAAGCCGGTGCGTAACAAGAGATTTAAAAATATATAGATATTTGAGGTGAAGGCCGCATTCGAACCCTGAACCCACTCGAGTGGGTTAAAAGTGTAAATGGTTTTGTGCAAATGATGGTAACAGGAACAAGGAGGCTTCCTTCCGCATAAAATATGTATAAAATATTGATCAGCACAACGACATGAATTGATCTAGCTATGTCCGATATGTGCGCTCATTTTCCCGTTTTTTAGAAAATACTCGAAGATTATAAGAGCTAGATAATCCAAACTTGTTATGTAGGTATTCATGCGGGATACACGTATTAAATTTATTTCATTTTTTAGGTCCCTTCCCCATTTTCCACGAAATTGTACAAAAAAATTACATTTTGGACTTATTGTATTGTGCATTAATATTTGGACACATATGTATGCATACTATATAAACGCTCTGAAAATTTGATTAAACATTTCGCATAATGGCAGGAAGCAGCACAGCTGCTGCGTGAGCTAGGTATCTTCTGGTCGAGCATTCTCAACTGGGTCAAGGGTGGAATAATACTTGATACGAAAACAGGAAAAAGAATACATATGGAACAGAAAAAATCTATATATAAATATATTTATATCATGTACAATAAGATCAAACAAAGGGACCTCATCGCACAACGACGGGTAAATTCATCCAATCCATTTTTTTTATTTATTTATTCTCAGTATAAACAAAAAGGACTATAGCTGGAAAACCAAAATCTTTCTGCCCAAAATGCGGCTGGATGCCAAGTATCAGATGGCTGGTCGCATACTTTTAATACCACTAAGTGGTACAGGCAATATGTTCCTAGAGATGGGTAAGTGTGGGTATATATTTTGCCAAGAATGCATATGGATAAAATTGGTAACCGAATATTTTTCTCCAGAGAACCTCGACATACTGCTGCGCACCAAGACGCTGCTGTACGAAAAGGGTGGCTTCACCTTCAATAATGTGACTTCCGTCCGGGTGGAGCTGAATATGACCCGTGTGCGCAGCCATTTCGATAATCTGTTCAATGGACGCAGCAAAGAGGTGGAGCGCAGCACGAATCAGTTCTTTAACGACAACTGGCGCGAGTCCTACGAGGCGTTGAAGCCGCTTATTCTCGACACTGTAGAGAACATATTCTTTGATATAATGTCAAAGGTGTTCCACCTGATACCAGCTAATTTCTTTATTGAGGATATTCCTACGCCGCAGCAGCTCTATGGCAAAGTGGGTGATAAATCATAAATGTTAAACAGGCTACCTATGAGTCAGCTAAAAACAAGTAAGCATGCTTTAGTCGAGCGTGTCCGACTTGGAAACTCCCTAGCTTCACCTAATACATTTGTTTCATGTAGCTCAAAAACTATGAAAACTTGTGTATTTATTTTCCAATCGTTATGAAATATTTAACGCTTTAAAGTCGTATTTAAATCGATGCACAAGAATCGATATACAAGAATCAAGCCTGTACCGTGTATTCAAACGTTTTTCGATTTTTTTCCAATGGGTACAGTGCATATAAAAATAAAATACTTACATATATTACATTACGTCAACTAAAAACCAGCTTAGAACATTTAAGACTCGTAATACTGATGTTAATTCGAGTGCACATGTGTATAATATAGCTTGTAATTTGCCAAAGCATATAAATCATTCAGTAATTCGTTCATTAACTGTCTTCTTGTAGAATTTAAAGTAAGTACTTAACATTTCTTTGCACTTCTTAAAATATTAACACTCACATTACGTGGTCTCAGGCACGTATTATATCAGCTTGTTTTGCTGAGAAGTAAACGCCATATCTTTGTTCTGTAAAGAAGAGACTAATGAGTTATAGATATGACAGCTTAGCCGATATTACTCACCCTTCTCGTCTACTCTGTAATCCCGTTGCCTAAGTGCATACATGATCACGTATATGATCACCACCAGCAGCACAGCCACGGCCACTAAGGCCAAAAATAACCAATTTTTGATGAAAATATTCATGCCGGCTGTTCGACCTGCATTTTCTGTGCCTCTAAAACTTGGACACTCAACGCCTTCTTGTGGCGTCTGGCCATCGTAGCAGACGCACACGCCGGGATATGCACAATAGCCATGGACGCACTCCTCCTCGCACTCGGGTAGGCAAAGAAATTTTGTAGCATTCCGTGGATCCTCGGTCAGTCTGTAGTTTTCCTCACAGCTGCATTGTCCATCCACACAGGTTCCATTCCAGCACCGTTGCTCACAAATATCCATTATTCCCGTTTGCGTCGGACCTCCGGTACTTGATCTTTCTGTGTCATCCCATTGACGCGTGCAAACATTTTCAAACTTTATGTAGCCTTCATTGCAGCTGCAGCAGTTAGGAGATTCACAGAATCCGTTGGGACACCCGTCTTCGCATACTGGCGCACAACTATTCTCACTCACTTTATTGTAGCCTTCGTCACACGTGCATTCACCTGGCGCACTGCAATATCCGTGCTCACATCCGTCCTGGCATACTGGTGCACAACTGTTCACACTCACTGAAGAATATCCTTGGTGACAAGTACATTCCCCTGGCGCACTACAGAATCCGTTCTCACATCCGTCGTTGCACACAGGTGCACAACTGTTCTTACTGACTGTACTGTAGCCTTCCTTACAAGTGCATTCCCCTGGCGCACTACATAATCCGTTCTCACATACTTCGTTGCACACTGGTTCACATCTGTTCTCACTGACTTTACTGTAGCCTTCGTCACAAGTGCATTCACCTGGGACACTGCAATATCCGTTCTCACATCCGTCGTTGCACACAGGTGCACAACTGTTCTTACTGACTGTACTGTAGCCTTCGTCACAAGTGCATTCACCTGGCGCACTGCAATATCCGTGCTCACATCCGTCCTGGCACACTGGTGCACAACTGTTCACACTCACTGAAGAATATCCTTGCTGACAAGTACATTCCCCTGGCGCACTACAGAATCCGTTCTCACATCCGTCGTTGCACACTGGTGCACAACTGTTCTTACTGACTGTACTGTAGCCTTCCTTACAAGTGCATTCCCCTGGCGCACTACATAATCCGTTCTCACATACTTCGTTGCACACTGGTTCACATCTGTTCTCACTCACTTTATTGTAGCCTTCGTCACACGTGCATTCACCTGGCGCACTGCAATATCCGTGCTCACATCCGTCCTGGCACACTGGTGCACAACTGTTCACACTCACTGAAGAATATCCTTGATGACAAGTACATTCCCCTGGCGCACTACAGAATCCGTTTTCACATCCGCTCTTGCACACAGGTGCACATCTGTTCTCACTGACTTTCCTGTAGCCTTCGTCACAAGTGCATTCACCTGGCGCACTGCAATATCCGTTCTTACATCCGTCCCTGCACACAGGTGCACAACTGTTCGCACTCACTGAAGAATATCCTTGATGACAAGTACATTCCCCTGGCGCACTACATAATCCGTTCTCACATCCGTCGTTGCACACAGGTGCACAACTGTTCTTACTGACTGTACTGTAGCCTTCCTTACAAGTGCATTCCCCTGGCGCACTACATAATCCGTTCTCACATACTTCGTTGCACACTGGTTCACATCTGTTCTCACTCACTTTATTGTAGCCTTCGTCACACGTGCATTCACCTGGCGCACTGCAATATCCGTTCTCACATCCTTCGATGCACACTGGTTCACATCTGTTCTCACTGACTTTACTGTAGCCTTCGTCACACGTGCATTCACCTGGCGCACTACAGAATCCGTTCTCACAACCATCGTTGCACACTGGTGCACAACTCTTCTCACTGACCTTATTGTAGCCTTCGTAACAAACGCATTCATCTGGCGCACTACAGAATCCGTTCTCACATCCGTTCTTGCACGCAGGTGCACATCTGTTCTCACTGACTTTACTGTAACCTTCGTCACAAGTGCATTCACCTGGCGCACTGCAATATCCGTTCTCACATCCGTCGTTGCACACAGGTGTACAACTGTTCGCACTCACTGAAGAATATCCTTGATGACAAGTACATTCCCCTGGCGCACTACAGAATCCGTTCTCACAACCATCGTTGCACACAGGTGTACAACTGTTCGCACTCACTGAAGAATATCCTTGATGACAAGTACATTCCCCTGGCGCACTACAGAATCCGTTCTTACATCCTTCGTTGCACACTGGTTCACATCTGTTCTCACTGATTTTACTGTAGCCTTCGTCACACGTGCATTCACCTGGCGCACTGCAATATCCGTTCTCACATCCTTCGATGCACACTGGTTCACATCTGTTCTCACTGACTTTACTGTAGCCTTCGTCACACGTGCATTCACCTGGCGCACTACAGAATCCGTTCTCACAACCATCGTTGCACACTGGTGCACAACTCTTCTCACTGACCTTATTGTAGCCTTCGTAACAAACGCATTCATCTGGCGCACTACAGAATCCGTTCTCACATCCGTTCTTGCACACAGGTGCACATCTGTTCTCACTGACTTTACTGTAGCCTTCGTCACAAGTGCATTCACCTGGCGCACTGCAATATCCGTTCTCACATCCGTCGTTGCAGACAGGTGCACAACTGTTCGCACTCACTGAAGAATATCCTTGATGACAAGTACATTCCCCTGGCGCACTACAGAATCCGTTCTCACATCCGTCGTTGCACACAGGTGCACAACTGTTCTTACTGACTGTACTGTAGCCTTCCTTACAAGTGCATTCCCCTGGCGCACTACAGAATCCGTTCTCACATCCATCTTTGCACACTGGTGCACAACTGTTCTCACTGACCTTATTGTAGCCTTCGTAACAAACGCATTCATCTGGCGCACTACAGAATCCGTTCTCACATCCGTTCTTGCACACAGGTGCACATCTGTTCTCACTGACTTTACTGTAGCCTTCGTCACAAGTGCATTCGCCTGGCGCACTGCAATATCCGTTCTCACATCCGTCGTTGCACACAGGTGCACAACTGTTCGCACTCACTGAAGAATATCCTTGATGACAAGTACATTCCTCTGGCGCACTACAGAGTCCGTTCTCACACCCGTCTTTGCACACTGGTGCACAACTGTTCTCGGTGACTTTGCTGTAACCTTTATCACAAGTGCATTGCCCTGGTGCATTACAGAATCCGTTCGCACATCCGTTTTCACATACCGGCTGACATTTGTTCCCACTCTCATTTGTGTAACCACTATTACAGGTACACACGTCTGGCGCACTACAGAATCCGTTCATACAGCCATTTTTGCAGTCCGGCAAACACATAGAATCACTTATTTTCACGTGTCCTGCGAGACATTCACATAATCCTGGGGCCGTGCATTTCCCGTTTAGGCAATCGTTTTTACATATGGGCAAGCAGCTGTTATCGGGACCTTTCTGATAATCCATTTTGCATTCACAAGTTTCCGGGGCACGACAGATTCCGTTATCGCAGCCTTTGCTACATATTGGATGGCAAGCGTTTGAGGTCTCGTTCAGCTGGAAACCAGGCTTGCAATCGGGTTGGCATATCTTAGTATTGACATTTAAGGTGTAGTCCTTATTGCAGACGCAGTTTTCTGGTGATTTGCAGAGGCCATTGGCACAGCCGCTGCTGCAGATTGGCAGACAATGTCCGGTTGCCGCATCGATTTTGTAGCCGTTGGCGCAGATGCACCTACCGGGCGATATGCAACGGCCATTCGTGCAGCCGCCCTTGCATTGGGGCACGCAACTGGCATAGAAAGCGAGGATCGGATTTATGGATGATATTCAAATTCAAGACTACAACTCACCGATTGAATGGCAAATGGTTGAGATTCTCATAGCCCCTATTACAGCTGCATGTATTTGGTTTTGAGCATATGCCGCTGCCACAATTCTGTCGACATTGCGGCACACACCTAAAAATGTTGCCTGTCAGACGTTTATAGCCCTTGCAGCAATACTTTACTTTTACATTCTATAATGTATTTTTAAGTTTTTAATTGTAATATGATTTATAGCAGAATTGTGTATCTTAATTAACTTACTATGGTTTTGTCTTTAACCTTTTTAAGATCCGTTCTGAAACAAACTTGTGCCAACACAAAACTGGGCAATACAATATATATGACTATATGCCGAACTAGCATTGTGCAGCATTTACTCCGGTCCACTAAGAAATGAGACTGCGGCAAGAATTCGAGAGCGTGGAGATATCGCACAGTTGGCAGAATGTTTTGCATAGCTTGGATCCCGCCTAAATGCGCCTCACACACAAAATCTTACACTTGCAAAATCAAATGAGGAAATTTGCAAGAAAATGAAATAAACATTCAATATAAGATTGCCTCTAGCCAACGGGAGAGGCTTCTTCGAGGTATACTTTCATCGATATAAAAGGCAAGAGATAAGTCTAGTCTGCTTACATTTTATTTCCGCTTTATGGAGAATGCTGGGAAGAATCCAATAAGTAATATTTTTAGGATTTGAGTAAAATGTATATAATCTTCGAGATTTGCCCTTAAATTACTTGTTTAAGTACCAATATTTATCGATGTCAAGAAACAGATATACAAGACAAAAATTCTATGCTGACTACATTTTATTTAAGATTAAGAGGGGAATGTTGGGAAGAATACAACAAGTGATCAATTATGGATCTGAGTACAATGTTTGTTGTCTGCAGCTCCTTTAAGCTTCAAGATATGCATCACATTATCCTGATTGGGAATTTGTATAAGAATGATAGAGTCGGTTTCCCTCTGCCTGTTTCATAAATTGAGCAAAAAAGTCGTATGCCCTAATTTACTGAGTATATAATATACTGGTTCTTATTTTCAACAGTTATTCAAGCTTTATATAATCTCAAATTTGAGTGAACTTTTTAAACGTAACTTAAATAAATAATATGTTTGGGTATTACAATTTTGTACAGTGCAGTTGTATCTGTATAAGTTGAATTCTTATCGCAAATTTAACCATGCGGACAATGCCTGAACTTTGCTACCCATATCTTTCATTTCAAGCCCACGATGAAACTTGCTAAACACTCTATCCGAAACTTTGAATACACTTATGCCAAAGCTCGTATAGTAGGGTCAATACAATTTGTAAGTACATATTGCATATTAAATAGAACTTAAGAAGTCCAAAATAATAAAAAAAGAACCCAAGCCTCATGTGAGTAACTTAGCTTAGAGTAACTATAAAAACAGTTTTGAACCCATTTTATTAGTTTTTAAAGTCTGTCACATTCTGTATCAAAGAAAATGATGATCATGTAATATACACTACAATCTCATAAAAATATATACTAAATACATATAAAAGATTTGTTTATTACAAATACAAAACAAATAAAGGCACGTATGTATATATACATATAAGAAAAGCAAGTAATCGTTAAAGCAATATCTGTAAACTAGGCTAGTGGAATTTCCATGAAACGTCATACTCGTATTATATAGTCGCCCGATTAACAGCTATTAGAGGAAGCATGTGGAATATATGCAAAACAATAAATGGAAACTCAAGCACATAAATACTTGTTGTGTGGCTCAATTATATCATATTAAAATGCAAAAATATGCCAACAATGATATCTTCTTTCATTCATTTATTTATTTATATAAATTTATTTTTAAGAAATTCCCTTTATATGGATTGGCGTCACATTTACTGCAATCCAATTTTGTTCGTGTACGCGAACTATGAAACACTCAACATACATTTTGCGTCATATCATTGATTAATTTAAATATTTTATAATTTTAAATAATGTTCTGGTTCAGAATAGAGTAAAAAACAATTAAGCGCATCGTGCACATATACTCTTTGAGTACAGGTATGAAAAACATATCTGTTTCTACAAAGATAAAACAGCTCAACTAGTCGACGTATTTTCCAGAATTATATAAAAATAATTGACCGAGTCGCTAAAGATTCAGTCAGCGCTCGGAGCAAGTATGTCGAGTCGTTGTTATATTCATATAAAGTATGGAAACAAGTACGAGTGCTAGAGCACTCTAGAACGGAGTGCCCAACTAGTGGATACCCTAAACGCAGCACCAAGCTGGGTAACACACGTAGACCCACACACATGCGCATACGCATATCGCTGTGCTTGTTCTTCCCTTTATCTTGCACAGACGCCGTTTTGAATAACTTCGGTATATGTAGTCCGATCATTTTTAAATTTGTCAGTTCTTAAATATGGGATTCAACTGTGTGTGTATTCCAAAGTGCAAAGCGCTACCTTACAATATAAAAAATAATTTAATAATATTGTGAAATATTTTTAATTTATATTCACTCTGCGGAAACCCACTTACAAAATTTGTTGAATCTAACTCATATAAACTTTAAACCAAGCTGAGAACGCATGTATCAAAATCGATATTTACCGATGGGCGGATCTGTATATTCCATACATCCGCAAAAAACTATTATACCCTCTTTACTCACTAGTATAAAAACGTATAAAAACGTAAACCAGTCAATGCAGTTAGATGCTATAGGACATATAAGATTCAGCTACTCGGGGAAATATATCTCATTTGAACGCGGCTAACTCGATTGGCTGGTGACAGTGACGGCAAAAAACACGGATTTTTTTTTGTATTTTCCTATTCCTATTTTAACGATGTTCGAAACGCCCAGCACACGAATACTCGTAATTGGTTTAGTCTATATGTGTATGGGCCTCGTATATGTCGAGGGGCTGGCATACTACACGGAAAAGCGTAAGTGCGTCCAGCGGGTATTGATTTAATTACACCGAACTGATTAATTAAAAGTGTGCGCTTGTGATTTGGCTGTTTTTTTCAGCATAAATACATTATGATTTATCGTAATGCGTGAATTAATTAAATAATTTACTTACAACAACAGCCGCATATATCGAATCGTGTCGCATTCATGAGCCCGACTTTACGAACTGCTCAACGCGTTCCATTCAGGGATTCCTAAATGCGGTCATCAAAGGTGAGCAGCTGCTAATTGCATGATTCAAGGCCACACCAATACAGCTTGATTTACATTAAATAGGCATTCCCGAAATTGAAGAGTCTTTCGGACCCTTAGATCCAATGAAACAAGATCAGCTGACATTTAAGCAGGAGGACAGCGATGTGGCTTCCATTTCGGCAAATCTAACCAATTTAATAGTACGCGGCCTGGGCAAAATGATTATCAAGGAGAGCAAGTGAGTATCTCATGACGTTCTCAGCACACTTTGCACTCGGCTCGGTCCAACTATTAATATCGAGCTAATGCATAATAAAGGCAGCTCGTTAAGGTCACGTAGAGACTTGTTTCATTAATGTCATTTTTCCCTCAAGCTTATAAACACATGCCATTTCCAGTCTGAATTGAGTCTCAGAAAAATTGATATATTGATTGATAGAGTTACGGGTTTAGTAAATCTTACAAATGATGTCACATAACTTAGATCCTTTCCATCTGTTGATTTTACAATATATGCTTAAGTTGTCTGATATTAATCATATGTTGGTTCTTTGGGGCCTATTAAAGCTAATGATTGAAGAGTTCAGTTAACATAACTGAAAAAAACAAGAATTACTTTCATGTCTAAACTCAATTTTGAGCGAAAGGTCGGTGCTATAAAATATAATAGACAATTGTTTATAAAATTTAACTGCGATATTTAAAATACTGTAAAAGCCGTAACTTATCAAGCTTGGTTAAAGCATCTTAAAAACAAATTGTTTTGAATACAAAGATTCTGTGTTCGACTTATAGTTTCTATGAAATAGTATAAATCGGGCAATATGGCCGACGTTGCAATAAGTCTTATGAAGTTAGTATGTTAGATAGTATACCAAGTCTTATCAAGATAGTTTAAGAACTAACAGATCATATTGCATATAAATATTCACACAGGCAGAGGAACATATAGATTACTATTTTAAATAATCTATAACTTTTCCATTTTATCTAAAATCAGTTCAAATCTATTTCGAAATCCATTTTATAATGTAAATAAAGTGAGGCTTGGGTATTGTAAAATTTTATAGATGCGCTAAATCATATTACTTATTTAATGGTATGATATTATATGATATCTAAGCTATTAAATGACTTTTGAAACATTTTTAAAGATTCAAATCTGCAAATTCACAGGATAGCTCTCAGACAAACACACTCTCATATATTTCATCGATTAAAAATAAATATAAGAAATTTATTAATCACATTTCAGGGTCAACAAGAAGGACTTTAGTTGGGAGGACAAGATTTATATACCACGCCTGCGCATGAATGGCACTTACAAGATGCTCGGACGCATTTTAATAATTCCCCTTCACGGATCCGGTAGCATATTTATAGAGATTGGTAATGATAGCTAAACCCTACAAATTACAAGTAAAAATGAGACTCAAATCCTCCTCCTCCGCCTCTATGACAGATGATCTGGACATACTGATGAAAGCGAAGACGCGACTGTACGAGAAGGGCGGATACACTTTCTATAATGTGACCGCGGTGACCGTTAAGCTGGAAGTGGGCCGCGTTCGAACATATTTGGACAATCTGTTCAATGGCCACAGCAAGGAGGTGGAGCGCAGCACGAATGAGTTCTTCAATGAAAACTGGCAAGATTTCTATGAAACGCTGCGTCCACTTATTGTAGAAACATTGGAGCGCACATTGCTCGATCTGCTGAGGAAGATGTTCAATGTGATGCCAGCCAATTTCTTTGTGGAGGATATACCCAATTCGCTGGTGCTCTACGGTCGCAAAACACGGCTAATAGCATAGAGTTGTTTACTTATTGAGTGAGAGTTGTTAGCTTACAGTTAAATATTAAATGCAAAAACTTAGTTTAAATTAATCTATATACATATACATATATATGTTCATGGCACAGAGCACTACGGTCTGGGGCCGCATCCTGTTAGCTGCTCAATAGAACCAATCATATTTGAGATAATCGCCCTCGTGCTTCAGAGCCGCAATCGATGTATGCCGCACGTGTCCAGTGCGCGCGAATATGCGACGATTGCCCACCGGCTGCAGGGTGCGAAAGTTGTCCACCAAGGCGCCATCTTGGGTATCCGACAGCTGGCGGAAGCGTGAGATCTGTCAAAGACAAACAGAAGAAGCATAACTCATACGCTCTGTACGCCACGCATCGTGCACCTTGCACTCACCTGCTTGGGCGAAATGGGTATGGGATCGGGAAACAGTATCCAGGTTACAGCCTCGGAGCAGGGCGGCGTGGTTAGCGAACCTGCAAGCAATGCATAATACGTGACGTGACAGTTAAGGCGCTCATTAATTCATACTGTGATCCAATCGAACAGGCATGCAAATCGAACATGACACAGTGACAGCTAAACGTAGTGAAGAGTCAATTATCCGACCCGCAGACACTTACCTTTGTATGTGTAGAACTTGTCCACGTCGACATTGGATATTAGCGAGGATAGCGAGAAGGTGACATTAAGCGATGCCTCCTGATTGGCATCGGCGATCAGATGCAGGTGACGATTGATGGTTACCAAGCCCTGGCCCTCGTCCTCATCCAGCTGTGCAATGGAATGTCAAGTTAGCTGCATCGTATTTATCCAAAACTAGCCACACTTACGTTGAAAAAGAAACCCAGCACCGCCGCACCATCCGGATGATTGAGGGCCTCGCCCAGCGTCGCGTATTTCTTGTTGCGATGCACAATATGCATTTCCATGGTGTAGCGTATATCGTTGATGACATGCTCCGAGCCACGATTGTTCTTATCACCCCAATGGAAATGCAGGCCCTCCACCTCGAACTCACCGGGCAGCTTGGCGCCCCGTACGTAGGGCAGGAATTCATACTGGTCCTCACTCTCATTCAGCTTGGGTATGCCAATGGAGACTGTCAAAAGGGCCAAATGTGCTAATTAGCCAATGCAATGGTGGTACTTTGAGCCATCCGACTTACCAGTGTGACCATTGTTAATCATTTTCAGCGGATAGGGCAGCAGATTGTGGTACCCAATCATGTCCACAGCCGGCATATGCACGGGTATTGTCTGAAATGGTTAGATTTTTGGGCAATTAGCAGCTTGTTAAGTTGGCTGCAGCTGTCACACTGAGAGAAAACTGCACTTCTTATTAAGATTAATGATTATAATTAAAAATTAAGTCGTCTTGTTCTCTAAATTCCAATTAAATTTCTTGTTTAATTACTATTTTTATTAAATTTAATGCTATTTGAATCTTCAAGATAAAGCTGAAATTCCTGTCAATTCGGAAACTTTGGATCAAAATTATATACATAAGTATTATTACCAAATTTATTATACTTATTATTTACATGAAATTTTCTATTTGTAAATATAAATAAAAATGGTCTTGTTTTATTTTAAATTAAAAACCGAGTTCCCGAACTGAAAACTGGTTCAGAACAGGAACCGAACAAATGAACAAACTCCTTGACATTCTGGATAACAAAATTAAAACACCATTTAGTTAAAAAAAAATATATATATATATATAAATATTCACACTGGAAATGTAAGTAAAAACTGCTTAAGTAGAGTACTTAACTTAAGCCTTATATCCAGGAATTTCGTTATAAAAAAAGTAATTAAAGTAAAAAGTTCACTATCTTAAGAAATTAGACTGCCAAAAAGGTTTGTATTACTTTCGAGTACAAAAACATTGGCTTTCTTTCAAGAAAACTTACATGACTGGAGGTGATGGCAATGGGTGACTGTGTCTTGCCGGCACAGTGTCCATGATGACGCGCCCAACGCCTCTGGTTGGGCTCCGAGTAGCCAAAAACATGACTGTTGACCACTGTAAATAAAAAAAAATTGAAAAAAAAAATCAAAATTTTGAAATCAGAAATAATGAATGTTCGCCGTATGCCGTACTAGCTGCTAACTGTAAACATAAACTAGTAATAGTTCCGAAACATATGAATTGTATGCCCGTTCGATCACGTGCCCCGCACAATAATGTCTGCCCCGGAACCCGCAGATAGAGCTTATCTCTGACATATACGAGCACTTGTGAATTATGGCAAATAAATGGAACGATAGCAAACAAATGTTAACCGTTTGCTGCTCAGCAAATAGATAAATCAATAAATACATTTTAGAGAGAAAATACAAGGGCACATTAAACACAATATAGATATCGGCACAATTATTGATATTGATATAGATAATGAGTGTCGAAGGTAAATATTTTTCCATAATTTTCACCACTTGTCTGACTTCACGTTTGACTAAGTCTCACACAATGGCATACAGTTGGAAAGGAAAATTAAGCGCTATTTTGCCTATGATAATTGGTTTATTTGGCCAAGCGATCTGACTATTAGCATGCATATCATATGACAATTGCACATTTCTACGGCTCTCAATTAGCAGGCAGACAGAAATGTATTTGTTTTAGAATTTATACTAATTGACATTATTAGAATAATTAATAATAATAATAATAATAATAATAATAAGTAAAAAATATAGGAATGCAAATAATTCGAACAAATAAGCGACCGAGACACTGAGGTAACTGAACTTTGAGGGTTCGAATCCTAGACTAGCGAAAGAAGGTCTTTACATTGTTCTAAGAATAATTAATATAATAATGATAGTAATAATGATAAAAATATTTATAATAAAAGTAATAATAAACGGACGGCTACAGCCAAAATATATTGGAGAATAAATATTAAACCAAAATGTTCAGCTTTTCATTTAAATTATTAACTCAAGCTAGCTAAAAAAAAAATAATAATAATCATTAATAATCACAATTAAATAATAATAATAATAACGTGATCAATATTAATATTATTAATAATAATGAGTAACAACACAAATAATAATAATAATAATAATAATAATAATAATAATAATAATAATAATAATAATAATATTGGTAATAATAATAAAAATAAAATATACCAACAAAATATTTCTTTCCTCACTGTTATTATATAACATTAAACACTTTTATTATAACAATTGAAATCAATTGAAATAACTAAAGCAGATTAATGAAACTTCTTAATGATAATGTAACCCAATACAGTGACCTTCAAACTATGATTTACAGATATAGACATTTTTATGTTTTTAAGGGGCGCATGTAGGCGTGGCCTGACTATTTAATCGTTTGCTTTAAATAACAACATAGAACATGATTCTAGCTTCAAATTAAAACGACACTTGCTCTAAAACTGTTCGACAGCCCTTTTGCTGGGCTTGGTCAAAATGTTTAAATAAATATATCTAGAGTGTAGAAGACCTCTAAAAATGTGTTAACAAATTTGTTAACTTACATAAAACTAAGTTATTCGGCCATTAGTTTTAGGAGTAGCTAATTAATTTGTTATTCGAAAATTAACACTTAAATATATTAAATTTTTGTAAGAGTTTTTGTCAGATCACGCAACAGATATGTCAATTATATAATTATTTGCCTACTGCCTATTTTATATCACTGGAGTGCACTTAATCAAAATCAATGACAGCAGTAAATGTATTAATTGGCATTCGAAAACACAAAAAGTTTCGAGTGGCATAAATGCCATAAAGCTAATGCAATAAACTTTGTAAAGTGCGTAATTAAGAGTACTTAGAAGCGTGATATCATAGGTTGGCCAATATCCACAGAACTCTAGCTATTTTGGGTGCACATGATTCAGACAACCTTGACATTTGTTAACACCGTGGTATATGGTGGGTCGCACGCTTTTCATGGAACTATCAAAGTTATAGTACCTTATCTATAAAATATTTTGTTTATATAGAACGTGCGGCTGTATGTTAGCTTGAAATTGATATTGATTGGGCTTGCCTAGTATATTCAATATGATTATCACTTCTGGTTTCCTTTGATTTATTTAATGATTGCACTTTTGGTACAATGACAAATGTATCACATGACCACAGCCGGCTGCCAGCTGTTATATAACTCATGTTTTTAATGTGTATTTAACACACGCACACACACACACAGAGGGAGACACAACTCTTATTACCAATATTATTGTTTTTCTTTTTTTACCTTGAGACCAGCAGATCACAAGAAAAACGGCTTGCAGTATTATCAAGTGCATGGCAGGCGTCAACTGTTTGCAATTTATTGTAATGATTTCCTTGTCCACTGAGCTCCTGTTCCCGAGCACTTGGCAAATGCAACACCTTGCGCTTGGCCGGTTGATTCTAAACTGTGCGGAGGTTTGGCGTTTGAAGCACCTTCACAACTTCCCCAAGCGTCAACGAACTAATTGAAAATTCGAAAGCTTAAGTCCCCGCGTATAGCGCGCGCTCCACACTCTGACACGAACCATAAAAAACAAGAGACTCTAGTCGTGTATGCCCGACTTGCAGTTACCCTGTACACAGCTCCGAGCTGTCGTAACAAATTTTCATAGATCCTTGCCTAGATCTTACGAATTCTTCAGGTCTTAAATAAAGAGTTAACAAATACTATGCATACGAAAGAAGAACCTCATTAAAAATACGGCTTTTTATATACAAAATAAGCCTTAAAATCTATATTGCGAAAGATTAACGAGAAATATATAATATACATAATATAACATCTTAAACATCTCGTCTTATTTAATATGAGAGATAAAGTTAAGAAATAAAATCTATTTAAAATTTGGAATTACAAAATGAGATTGTATAAGAATAAGGCTGGATATCTCCACAATAAACATTTCCCCTCTCATGTCAAAATAATTGCCAACGGATTAGTTACATTTTGGTTCTATGTTAGCTATAAAATGCCTTCGTCTGCCTGTGACATATATGTGCAAAAAAGTATGAGACACTTCGTTACACATTTAACTTGGGTACAGGGTATAGACACTCACATGCTACAATCGTAGTCGCACGAAAAACACCGGACGACGGACGAGCACACGATCCATCGATCGTTTTGTCTGGGGTATTGAAGTATTGAGCTGTTGGAGCTTTTCTCTAATGCGTCCACTTAATGAAATCGAATTTGAAGTAGTCCAACTGCACCACAGTGCGTATGCTTAACATTAATTAGAATAGTGCCGCAGCAAAGAAAATTTCAAATTTTGATTCGTCATAATTCCCACTTAGTTAATGCTCAGCGCAAACACAAGAGGAAACGGCTTTCAATCATTCGATAATATTTTGTTTTGCATACTAACATTTATATACTATCACATACTTGAATGAGGAGCGCGACATCTAATGCCGGGCAAATATTGACAATATCATGCAGTAAGCTACTAATTGATCGCGTGGCTATCGCTTCAAATGGAATTCGATGGGCCAGACAAATTCATTGAGCGATTTTCACACGCTTACTGCTCGGCTTAAAACAGAAGTAAGTGTTTTGTTACGTTTATACCATGTATATATATTTCTATCAGAAGTGGCAAGACAAACAGACGTCTATAAGTCATATTTGCTCAATTCATTAGTCTGTTTAAACGTTATTTCCAAATACCTCCTCATATTATTTAATTTTTAAACAGACACAAATTGAAAAACATGTTTTAATTGATACATATCTATAAAGAAAACGTGGCATGAAATTAATTAACTTTTCCAGGCACCAATACATAATTGTATAAATTTAGCAACGTTTTCACATGAAAGTAAAGCGTAGCCAATTTAACGCGTTTAACATTTGGTAATATCAAAAATGACTCTTTTCAAATGCTATTTTAATTAATTGAAATCAGTAGCAATCGTGATTTTCTCGGCATAAACATGCACTGATTGTTTTACTTAAATTTCGTTCACATTTCATTTACATGCGTATCGGAAACTCGTGACATACATGGAGAATACAAAACAAAACGAGCTATTAATAGGGGTTGACAAGTCTAAAATGAATGCATTTGAATGTTCATATACTTATGAGCTCGAATACAACTGAACATTGTATGATAATATCGCAAGCAGTTGACATTTTAAATGTAATTCAGTTCCGAACTGCAATCTAGACCTTGGCGCAAAACAGTTCAAGTAATTAGTAGTTATCCTCACATACATATTTATGTACATAAATATATTTGTATATATAGAGATAACCTACATTTTATTTTATTTGTGTCAAAAACTCTTTTTTGATTGAGTTTCATAATTTATTGCAAATTTCGCAATTAGAATAACAGTTATCAATTATATACGAATTTACAATAATTTGATAAACAATATCTAGCTTGAATTTACGCCTGACTGCATAGCGTGGATCGTGTGCTAATTGTTTTTAAAATGACTAGACACGATTTTTTTAATGATACCCTTAAAACGTGTTAATCGGAGACATATGACGAATGCGTGCTCGAGTTAGGGGATGTTCAGTTTGGAATATGGGGTATCTTCTAATAATAGCATAAAAGAACCCTGCATTAAATATCTGGGAAAAATTTTTCGCAACGTTTTCGAATTTTATTACTAAGTCATTAAACTTGCAACTAATCTATTAACAAGCATTCACTTCAAATGAAATTCCCGTATATAAATTGACCTCACAAAAACTTTCCATCTATTCTATGAAACCATGTGAACTATTGGCACATTTTAAAGTTTTGTTTTTCAATTGTTATAAGTCGATTAGGTTGGCTCAACTACTTATTGTAAAGTCAGTATAGATCAAATAAATCCTCAAAGCTATGGGTGCAGCGGCCACTCATTTGGCATGCAAGCCGTGCCACATCCGAAATGATGAGCACATTAAAGCACAATTATTCGAACATAAAAGAAAGTCATAAAATTGAATGGTACTGATCTAACAATACTTAAGTAATTCGTCTTGTCACTGGCATATATTTAAAAAGCTATTAAAAAAATATAAAAAAAAAACCAAAAAATGAACAAAAATCGGCGCTGAATTTGGCGCATGTGAGCGCCAGGCCCATACAAAATACGCAGCCATAGACACGCGAATACTATAAAAAATCTTGACCAGATATAAATAAATGAATAGCACCTGAATGGCATCTTAAACAGCTAAAAGTTGCACTACACTTTTATCAATTAAAAACACCTAGAAATTGACATCCACGCCTGACATATATATATGTATACAGAGTACATGTGCTACGTTCATGTTCTTAGACACAATCCATAAAGCTGTCGTCATGGCAGGCGACGTGCCAGGCATGTCCAAAAATGTTGTATGGACAATAGTTAGGGTTTATTTTTAGAGAAACCTGTCAAATCGCCTAGCATCGTACATTATAATCACTGGGGCTTAGCTTAAATATAATAACATTCTATTAATAAAGCTTATCAGTTATAATGGATTGGCATACATTGACAGTAACAATAAATGCCATCGCTGATTGTTAAAAAATTTATCATTTACTTTAATTCATATTCCATAGCATACTTTTTATGTGTCAAGAGGTGCCGCCTAAAAGTTGACAATGGAAACCAAAATACCTTATGGCAATTCCCCTGTATAAAATGTATTAATTTATCTCAAGTTAACAAGTTTGAGTAATCATAAAAAAATTAATTTAATAACGCAACTTAATATCAAACGCAGCAAATATTTTAAGAAATATAAATATTAAGTCTGTAATTAATAATTTAATAATGTATTGTGGACTTTGGCATATTACTGGCGTACTTTGGTAACTAATATAATAAATATAAAGCTAAGTTCACACATCTTGGCGATCTAGCAAAATATTTAATTATATTCTATGATAAATGAAGAAAAGCACATAGTTTAATGCTTGATTTTCAATAATGGTCAAATTGTTGCTTATGTAACAAGTTATTCTCTCTTTGTGAAGTGCATCAACATTTTTGCCAGATAAGTGGCACATGTGGCACATTCGCGAAACAATTCGCGTAATCCACAAATGCGTCAAAACATAATAGTAGAAACCTAATATTCGATGTCTTTGCACCTGTTTTTCTTTTTGCGATGTATTGTGTGTGATTTATAGTAAATATGTGATGAGTTCCGCTGTAGATAAGGCTAGATTCAGTTACATCCAGGGTTCGGTTAATCCTGTTTCTCCTCCTTGGCGGACAAGAAAAGTTTTTGGCACGTGAATGTCATCGAATCTAAACAAAGTACATAGGTTAGTAGATATTTAGCTGTTCATATGCGATTATGTAAATATAGAGGTTTTAATGTGCAAATGTAGCAATTGTCAAGGTTAGAAAGTCGCTTGTATACGCACCAATCGCGTCATGCACCCATTTGGGTTTGTTCTTCCACTCGACGCCAACGAAATAGAATGGAATGCCAATTAGCGTTATTATCAAGCCCATGAAGACCTCAAATGGTGCGACGTATACCGGAACGACCACCAGAAAGGCGCACACAATGACAAACACGGCGGGTATCCACAAAGAGACCTGTCAAAGAAAAATATATGAAATGTGTACAACTATTTGAAAATCGGGCATAACTCACTTTAATTGGACGCTCCATATTGGGGCGTGTGTGACGAAAGTACAAAACAGCCGACACCGAGAGCATTATAAAGAACGACTCCACAATGCTGCTATATGTGATGAGCACATACACATCACTCACAAGCAGCATCACAATTGAGAGCAGGCACTGCAAAGCAAACAAGTTTAATTAAGCAACTTCTTTTGTGCAACAATTATCCAAACGGAACCTCACCAGAAAAGCCAGCGATGGCAGTGGCGTATAGCTCTTAACGCTTATGTGGGATAGCACTGCGGGCATGTGTCCATTACGTGCGCCCACAAAGCACATGCGCGACGAGGTCATAATATGCACAGAGAGACCGCCAAATGCTGAGATGGCCACCATAATGGGTATAATCAGCGAGAAGTTGCCCATGATCTTGTTGCCAAAAGTCTGCAAGCAACAAAAATGGGGAATCAATAAAATCTCATGGAATTTGGTAATCATGTCCTACATACCACTGCTATGGCATTGGAAGCGATCATTTCGGGTGCCGACAGTACGGCCAGATAAGCCATATTGGCCAGCACATAAATGCCCGTGACCAGTGGCAGTGATATATAAATGGCACGCGGTAAATTGCGATATGGATCACGCAGCTCTTCCGTCATAAAATTCAAATAATTCCAGCCGGCATATGAGAAAATGCCCGAGTAAAATGCCACCGACAGCTTGCCGGGATCGGTTTCAGTATTCTCGAAGGGTTGATTGAAATTCTCAACATTGCCCATTAGCATCCAAACCACACCGACGACAATG